AAGTCTTATTTCTATAGTTTGGATTCTTTATAAGTAACATCAGCTAGAAGTGTCTCATTTCCATAGTTTGGTTTGTTTATATTTACTTTAGCTAGAAAGGTCTCATTTCTATAGTCCAGATTGTTTATATGTAACATTAGCTAGAAGTGTCTCATTTGTATAGTTGAATTATTTATATGTAACATCAGCTAGAAGTATATTGTTTCTTTAATTTGGATTGTTTATGTAATATTAGCTAGAAGTATATAATTTCTATAATCTGGATTGTTTATATGTAACATCAGCTACAAGTATATCATCTCTATCATGTGGATTGTTTATCTAACATCAGCTAGAAGTATCTCACTTCTATAATCAGAGTTTATATATAAATTCAGCTAGAAGTGTCTAATTTCTATAGTTGGATTGTTTATATGTAAAATCAGCTAGAAGCTCCTAATTTCTATAATTTGGATTGTTTATATGTAACACCAACTACAAGTGTCTCATTTCTATAGTTTCGATTGTTTATATGTAAAATCAACTAGAAGTTCCTCATTTCTATAGTTTGTATTGTGTATATGTAACACCAACTACAAGTGTCTCATTTCTATAGTTTCGATTGTTTATATGTAAAATCAACTAGAAGTTCCTCATTTCTATAGTTTGTATTGTGTATATGTAACACCAACTACAAGTGTCTCATTTCTATAGTTTGGATTGTTTATATGTAAAATCAACTAGAAGTTCCTCATTTCCATAGTTTGGATTGTTTATATGTAAAATCAACTAGAAGTTCCTCATTTCTATAGTTTGGATTGTTTATATGTAACACCAACTACAAGTGTCTCATTTCTATAGTCTGGAGTGTTTATATGTAACATCAGCTAGAAGTGACTCATAGTTTGCTGTGTTTATATTTTGTATACAAACGTGTATAGTTACTAAACTGTTATCTCTGCTAGGATAATGGATGCATACAGTGTAGCAAACACATACAGATTATCAAGAGAGTACAGTGATGCAAGTTCTCCTGGGGTGTAATAACAACTCCTAGCAGTTGGAAATGTTCAAGCAACAGCTGAAACTAAATGCTCAACATCAGAAGTATCAAGGTGACCTGCATGTAGGTTTAGAGCCCCATGTTGTGAGGTGTCAGTCATAACAGGTTACATTATATGAGAAGAAATGGCTGTCTCTCCTCACAATCTTCAGGGGGTACATGCTGTAGAGAATCAGCTCTTGGATAGCAGAGGCAGAATTCACTCTCAGAAATCTGTGTACACATGTAGGGCATGGCGAGAAATGGATGACAGCACCATTCAGAGTGATAGTTGCTTTAGATCAAAGGTCAGGAATGGATGCTGGGGAAACAGAAGTGTCCGTGCAAGCAATGATCAATATGTATAACACTTAGCATAAGAATGGAAGTGAAAGCAGTAAAAGCAGCTTTCTGCTGGCTGAAGACTAGTAGACTGCAACATGCTGTAATCATAACTGACTGCCTGAGCACACTCCAGACAATAGAAACTGGTGTCTTGTGCTCACGACTGCTTCCATCGTGTGATAATACTCAGATCAGAAACATATCATGGATCTTTTGTGCCTAGGATATGCAGGTGTATGTGATAATGAGCAGGCTGAGAGACTGGCTGCTGTCACCCATTCTGTCCACAGGAAAAAGATCAGGCAAACTGTTAATCCCAGTACAACTGAGCCCATCAGTATGGGAACTATATTACTGAACAAGGGAGTAGAGCATGTATTTGAATGTTCCAACTGACCTAGACAGCTATGAAATGAGAAACTTGCATTACTGTGCAGCCACATGATCTCAGTCTTGGACATCTATAGCATAACTGTGTAGCCACATGTCAGTCTTGGACATCTATAGCATTACTGTGCAGCCACATGATCTCAGTCTTGGACATCTATAGCATTACTGTGTAGCCACATGTCAGTCTTGGACATCTATAGCATTACTGTGTAGCCACATGTCAGTCTTGGACATCTATAGCATTACTGTGTAGCCACATGATCTCAGTCTTGGACATCTATAGCATTACTGTGTAGCCACATGATGTCAGTCTTGGACATCTATAGCATTACTGTGTAGCCACATGATCTCAGTCTTGGACATCTATAGCATTACTGTGTAGCCACATGTCAGTCTTGGACATCTATAGCATTACAGTGTAGCCACATGATGTCAGTCTTGGACATCTATAGCATTACAGTGTAGCCACATGTCAGTCTTGGACATCTATAGCATTACTGTGTAGCCACATGATGTCAGTCTTGGACATCTATAGCATTACTGTGTAGCCACATGATGTCAGTCTTGGACATCTATAGCATTACAGTGTAGCCACATGTCAGTCTTGGACATCTATAGCATTACTGTGTAGCCACATGATGTCAGTCTTGGACATCTATAGCATTACTGTGTAGCCACGTGTCAGTCTTGGACATCTATAGCATTACTGTGTAGCCACATGTCAGTCTTGGGCATCTATAGCATTACTGTGTAGCCACATGGTGTGAGTCTTGGACATCTATAGCATTACTGTGTAGCCACATGGTGTGAGTCTTGGACATCTATAGCATTACTGTGTAGCCACATGTCAGTCTTGGACATCTGTACACATACAGTGCAGCCACATGATGTCAGTCTTGGACATCTGTACACATTCAGTGCAGCCACATGATGTCAGTCTTGGACATCTGTACACATACAGTGCAGCCACATGATGTCAGTCTTAGACATTTGTACACATACAATGCAGCCACATGATGTCAGTCTTAGACATCTGTACACATACTGTGCAGCCACATGATTTCAGTCTTGGACATCTGTACACATACTGTGCAGCCTCATGATTTCAGTCTTGGACATCTGTACACATACAGTGCAGCCATATGATGTCAGTCTTGGACATCTGTACACATACAGTGCAGCCATATGATGTCAGTCTTGGACATCTGTACACATACAATGCAGCCACAAGATGCCAGTCTTTGACATCTGTACACATACAGTGCAGCCATATGATATCAGTCTTGTACATATGTACACATACAGTGCAGCCACATGATGTTATTCTTGTATATCTGTACACATACAGTGCAGCCACATGATGTCATTCTTGGACATCTGTACACATACAGTGCAGCCACATGGTGTCATTCTTGGACATCTGTACACATACAGTGCAGCCACAAGATGTCAGTTTTGGACATCTGTAAACATACAGTGCAGCCACAAGATGCCAGTCTTTGACATCTGTACACATACAGTGCAGCCATATGATGTCAGTCTTGGACATCTGTACACGTACAGTGCAGCCACATGATGTCAATCTTGGACATCTGTACACATACAGTGCAGCCACATGATTTCAGTCCTCGACATCTGTACACATACAGTGCAGCCACATGATTTCAGTCCTCGACATCTGTACACATACAGTGCAGCCACATGATTTCAGTCTTCGACATCTGTACACATACAGTGCAGCCACATGATTTCAGTCCTCGACATCTGTACACATACAGTGCAGCCACATGATTTCAGTCCTCGACATCTGTACACATACAGTGCAGCCACATGATTTCAGTCTTCGACATCTGTACACATACAGTGCAGCCATATGATGTCAGTCTTCGACATCTGTACACATACAGTGCAGCCATATGATGTCAGTCTTGTACATCTGTACACATACAGTGCAGCCACATGATGTCAGTCTTGTACATCTGTACACATACAGTGCAGCCACATGATGTCAGTCTTGTACATCTGTACACATACAGTGAAGCACTAACAGCAAAAGCTGATACACATACAAGGACATACAGCTCCTGCTGATTCTCAGTCTAAAAAACAAAAATACACAACAACAACACAACACTAGGCTTGACATTACATGATGTCTGAACAATGATCTTAAAAAAATCCAACATTGGTCAAATTTATGCCATATCCAACATTTCTACACTGGCTTTGAAAGGTAGAAAAATGCAACAGGAGAAAGACACTTGTGAATCATCAGACAGATCTTGTCTCCTTGACTCATCAACACCTGAGGAGACAGATCTTGTCTCCTTGACTCATCAACACCTGAGGAGACAGATCTTGTCTCCTTGACTCATCAATACCTGAGGAGACAGATCTTGTCTCCTTGACTCATCAACACCTGAGGAGACAGTCTTGTCTCCTTGACTCATCAATACCTGAGGAGACAGATCTTGTCTCCTTGGACTCATCAACACCTGAGGAGACAGATCTTGTCCTTCCTCATGACTCATCAATGTCTCCTTGACTCATCAACACCTGAGGAGACAGATCTTGTCTCCTTGACTCATCAATACCTGAGGAGACAGATCTTGTCTCCTTGATCAAATACCTGAGGAGACTCATCAACACCTGAGGAGACAGATCTTGTCTCCTTGACTCATCAACACCTGAGGAGACAGATCTTGTCTCCTTGACTCATCAACACCTGAGGAGACAGATCTTGTCTCCTTGACTCATCAATACCTGAGGAGACAGATCTTGTCTCCTTGACTCATCAATACCTGAGGAGACAGATCTTGTCTCCTTGACTCATCAATACCTGAGGAGACAGATCTTGTCTCCTTGACTCATCAATACCTGAGGAGACAGATCTTGTCTCCTTGACTCATCAATACATCAGCACATTTCCTATAGGCATTGTCTTTGATATATTTAAAAGTAAACTGCCTCATAATGTTCATGTGTCAGTGTTTGTCTCCCTGACTTACCAAAGTATTCTTGTGCACATGTTTTCTCACTGTTATATTGCACCTTAAGGTAAGTGCCCTGATGGCCTATCAAAGAAGAAGCCATCAGTCAAAGAATGGCTGAATATGAAATAATCAAACACAGTAAGAAACTATCAACAGCTGCTACTTGTTATGGCTAGGAAAGAACATAAATGTTTAGTATAAGCAAATATCAAACTGACAGACTAGAGCAGTATCAGATCTCAAACACCTACCAGGTTTTGGGCTTCTCTAAAGGCTTCTTCTATTTCATCATCTGTGTCATGGTCTTTGGGCTCATCACTGCTGGGGGATTTACCTGCCTGGAAGTGAAAACAAATGTCTCAACAGTGACAGGAGCACCAGCTTTGAACATTAGTGCTGACATGCTCTACAGGAGCACCAGCTTTGAACATTAGTGCTGACGTGCTCTACAGGAGCACCAGCTTTGAACATTAGTGCTGACAAGCTCTACAGGAGCACCAGCTTTGAACATTAGTGCTGACATGCTCTACAGGAGCACCAGCTTTGAACATTAGTGCTGACATGCTCTACAGGAGCACCAGCTTTGAACATTAGTGCTGACATGCTCTGCAGGAGCAACCAATTGTGAGCACCTTCTAGGAACATCAGTTCTGAAACGATCCTTACTTGATTGGATTTTTGCTCCATATTTGACGTGAATCATGGTCCATACTTGACCTGACTTGGGATCCTTACTTGACCTAACTTATGATCATTATTTGACTTGACTTATACTTCACACTTGATTTGACTTATGGCTCATATTCTATGTGACTCGTGATCCCTATTTGACGTGACTTATGGCCCATATTAGATGTGACGTTTGGTCCCTACTTGAGCCGACTCATGGTCCATACTTTACCTGACTTGATATGATCCTTTCTTGACTTATGATTCTTACTTTACTTGAATTATGGTCCCTATTTGACTTTCTGAGTTCTTATCTCTAAAACTTGCTTACCTTTGCAACAACTGGCTTGAGAGAAGGGCTAGCTGGCACCTGGGCCATCTCTTGAATCAACACCTGGGGAAGCAGAACAACTTCGGAATCCACCGACTCCAGGCCACCTTTACAAACTGTACGTACTGTCAGCTGGCTGGGAATGTGGCCCTTAAAGTCTTCGGAGCTGAGAACCACATGATCAGCTGGTGACAGAGAACAACAATATGATCAGCTGGTGACAGAGAACAACAATATGATTGGCTGGTGACAGAGAACAACAATATGATTGGCTGGTGACAGAGAACAACAATATGATTGGCTGGTGATAGAGAACAACAATATGATTGGCTGGTGACAGAGAACAACAATATGATTGGCTGGTGACAGAGAACAACAATATGATTGGCTGGTGACAGAGAACAACAATATGATTAGCTGGTGACAGAGAACAACAATATGATTGGCTGGTGACAGAGAACAACAATATGATTGCTGGTGATAGAGAACTACAATATGATTGGCTGGTGACAGAGAACAACAATATGATTGGCTGGTGACAGAGAACAACAATATGATTGGCTGGTGATAGAGAACAACAATATGATTGGCTGGTGATAGAGAAGAACAATATGATTGGAAAGAACAACAAACAGTTTGTACTATCAGATGAGTATCACAGTAAATGTGTTTTAGAAACACACAAGCACGCACGCATGTGCACACACACACACCTATTAAAAAACTGCAATACAAATACAAATACCTGCATGAACATGTGCACACCCTCACATATTCACACACACATTCACACACATATACACACAGAGACATTATATAAATAAAATAAATGCTTAAATGCACATTTTTAAACAGCTGGACATAAATATGAACAAACCACACTGTTATACATGATTCACACACCAGACCACACATTAGATATGGACACAGCACCTCTATACATGATTCACACACACCAGACCACACATTAGATATGGACACAGCACCTTTATACATGATTCACACACCAGACCACACATGAGATATGGACACAGCACCTTTATACATGATTCACACACCAGACCACACATTAGATATGGACACAGCACCTCTATACATGATTCACACACACCAGACCACACATTAGATATGGAAACAGCACCTCTATACATGATTCACACACACCAGACCACACATTAGATATGGACACAGCATCTCTATACATGATTCACACACCAGACCACACATTAGATATGGACACAGCACCTCTATACATGATTCACACACCAGACTACACATTAGATATGGACACAGCACCTCTATACATGATTCACACACCAGACCACACATTAGATATTGACACAGTACCTCTATACATGATTCACACACCAGACCACACATGAGATATTGACACAGCACCTCTATACATGATTCACACATCAGACCACACATTAGATATGGACACAGCACCTCTATACATGATTCACACACACCAGACCAAACATTAGATATGGACACAGCACCTCTATACATGATTCACACACACCAGACCACACATTAGATATGGACACAGCACCTCTATACATGATTCACACACCAGACCACACATTATATATTGACACAGCACCTCTATGCATGATTCACACACACCAGACCACACATTAGATATTGACACAGCACCTCTATACATGATTCACACACACCAGACCACACATTAGATATGGACACAGCACCTCTATACATGATTCACACACACCAGACAACACATTAGATATGGACACAGCACCTCTATACATGATTCACACACACCAGACAACACATGAGATATTGACACAGCACCTCTATACATGAATGGTCATCATTACCAAAGAGAAATCACATCAAACAAAACTCACAAGTTGGGCCAGGCACAAAATGGACTTTTCTTTCATCAGCCATGATGTGGTATCCTGTGACGACAACACCGTTGCAGACGCCAGATGAGTTGATCGTCACTGGCAACCAGGTCAGCAGAATTGTGCCGACCCTGGGTCCAGACTCCACCTGTACATTGAGTGGAGGCTCTGTGGTTCCTTAATGATCAAATTAATGACATCAGAGAAACTTACTTTCATCACATGGACAATCATTAATGTCATCAGAGAAACTCACTTTCATCATTTGAAACAATCATTAATGTCATCAGAGAAGTATGGACAATCATTAATGTCATCAGAGAAAATTACTTTCATCACATGGACAATCATTAATGTCATCAGAGAAACTTACTTTCATCACATGGACAATCATTAATGTCATCAGAGAAACTTACTTTCATCATATGGACAATCATTAATGTCATCAGAGAAGTATGGACAATCATTAATGTCATCAGAGAAAATTACTTTCATCACATGGACAATCATTAATGTCATCAAAGAAGTATGCTTTCATGATACAGACAATCATCAATGTCATCAGAGAAGTCTGCTTTCATCTTATGGACAATAATTAATGTCATCAGAGAAGTCTGCTTTCATCATATGGACAATCAATAATGTCATCAGAGAAGTCTGCTTTCATCATATGGACCATCATTAATGTCATCAGAGAAGTTTGTTTTCATCATATGGACAATCATTAATGTCATCAGAGAAGTCTGCTTTCATCATATGGACAATCAATAATGTCATCAGAGATGTGTGTTGTCATATTATGGACAATCATTAATGTCATCAGAGAAGGGTGTTGTCATATTATGGACATTCATTAATGTCATCAGAGAAGGGTGTTGTCATATTATGGACATTCATTAATGTCATCAGAGAAGGGTGTTGTCATATTATGGACAATCATTAATGTCATCAGAGAAGGGTGTTGTCATATTATGGACATTCATTAATGTCATCAGAGAAGGGTGTTGTCATATTATGGACAATCATTAATGTCATCAGAGAAATGTGTTGTCATATTATGGACAATCATTAATGTCATCAGAGAAGGGTGTTGTCATATTATGGACAATCATTAATGTCATCAGAGAAATGTGTTGTCAAATTATGGACAATCATTAATGTCATCAGAGAAGTGTGTTGTTATTTTATGGACAATCATTAATGTCATCAAAGAAGTGTGTTGTCATATTATGGCAATCATTACTGAGACTTCATTTACCAGCTCACCAAGACTTCACAATAAACAACTGACACCAACACAGCATTGTTCAACACAGCATTGTTCAACACAGCATTGTTCAACACAGCATTGTTCAGCACAGCATTGTTCAACACAGCATTGTTCAACACAGCATTGTTCAACACAGCATTGTTCAACACAGCATTGTTCAACACAGCATTGTCCAACACAGCATTGTCCAACACAGCATTGTTCAACACAGCATTGTTCAACACAGCATTGTCCAACACAGCATTGTTCAACACAGTCTGTTTACCAACATGATGCTACCCAACCTGTAAGGTACAAGCTACTTGACCTGTGAGGTAAAAATCTCCAGACCTATGAGGTACAATTTACACAATCTATGAAGGTAAAAATCTACATTCATGGCAGGCACAGACAAGTGCACTAACTACATTCATGGCAGGCACAGACAAGTGCACTAACTACTGTCATGGCAGGCACAGACAAGTGCACTAACTACATTCATGGCAGGCACAGACAAGTGCACTAACTACATAAATGGCAGGCACAGACAAGTGCACTAACTACATTCATGGCAGGCACAGACAAGTGCACTAACTACAGTCATGGCAGGCACAGACAAGTGCACTAACTACTGTCATGGCAGGCACAGACAAGTGCACTAACTACATTCATGGCAGGCACAGACAAGTGCACTAACTACATTCATGGCAAGGACAAGAGCACTAACCCCTGTGGGTCCTGACTAGAATCACTAAGTGACTGTCCCTGAGCATAAACTGTGATATCACACAGGCATGGCTGCTGTAGCACAGACACTCACACATCCACACTGACTCACACACCTACACACATTTCTAGAAGATTAGGTTAACTATAGTTTAGATGAATTCAGCAAAGCAACCAATGATGATTTGCCAACTTTCATAATGTGAGGCCATCAACGTTGTAAAACAAAAATCCCAACTTAGTTTTCATTGCCCCGATCTGTCTTCAAACATCCTCCACAGCAATCTTCAACATGTTTGTGCCCTAACACAGCACACAGTTAACTGGTAGTCCATGAACACTTGCAGACAACATATCAGTACAAACCAAGGGAAACTTGCCCCACATCCTTCCAGTCACTGACCTGCTGCAGTGGTTGCAAACTGGATGGTTGCCGACACATTCTCCACCCACTTGCGAGACTTCTCCTCATTCAGTGCACCAGAAATACTTTTGGCGATCAAGGTCACTTTATGTAATGTACCAGGAGTAAGCCCTGTGAGCAAGTGCAGCAGAAGAAAACATTTTCAAGTGGTTACAATTCTGCTGCTATCTGCTTCTGTGGCATCTGAAATGGGCTGCACTCAAACATCAGTAAACCATTGTTTATAACCAGGTTATATTGTGGAATATGTGCAGAAAACATAACTAAACAGTGGGATTTAGATAGTCTGTAACACGACTAAACAGTGCGATTCAGGTAGTTTGTAACACGACTAAACAGTGCGATTCAGATTGTCTGTGACACAACTGAACAGTGTAACATGACTAAACGGTGCGATTCATATAGTCTGTAATACAACTAAACAGTGTGTGATTCAGATAGTCTGTAATACAACTAAACAGTGTGTGATTCAGATAGTCTGTAATACAACTAAACAGTGTGTGATTCAGATAGTCTGTAATACAACTAAACAGTGTGTGATTCAGATAGTCTGTATCACGACTGAATGGTGTGAGTCAGATTGTCTATAACATGAAAAAACAGTGTGATTCAGATTGTCTGTAACATGACTAAACAGTGCGATTCAGATTGTCTGTAACATGACTAAACAGTGCGATTTAGATTGTCTGTAACATGACTAAATAGTGCGATTCAGATTGTCTGTAACATGACTAAATAGTGCGATTAAGATTGTCTGTAACATGACTAAATAGTGCGATTCAGATTGTCTGTAACATGACTAAACAGTGCGATTTAGATTGTCCAAGTTGGATAAGAAAGACAGAAACATTTAGATATCTCAGGTTGGACAAGAAATGCAAAAATAGTCAGACTCACTTGTTACAGTAAAGGTAAAGTCGGGAGTTGTGAACCAGCGTCATTGCACACAGCTATAAATCATAAGTGCTCTGCCACCATTACGGACAGCTGATAAGAAATTCTCCGCCTGTGTCACCGTCTGCACGTAACTCCGTAGCTAAAGCGACGTTCCTCCATTTTCCCCAGAGTGTCAACTCTGGTACCCATTTCCTAGAGACTGGGTGAACCCCGAGAGCCGCCTGGTTTCGAACACCGACCGTGGGCTGCAGCAAGTCACAGATGGATTCAGAAGCGAGTCTCCTATCAACTTCACTAACACGCTCCCCACCTGTTAGAGTGTAACAGAACACTCGACATGGACTCACCTGTAAGAGTGTAACAAAACACTCCACATGGACTCACCTATAAGAGTGTAACAAAACACTCGACATGGACTCACCTGTAAGAGTGTAACAAAACACTTCAGATGAACTCACCTGTAAGAGTGTAACAAAACACTTCAGATGAACTCACCTGTAAGAGTGTACCAAAACACTTCAGATGGACTCACCTGTAAGAGTGTAACAAAACACTTCAGATGGACTCACCTGTAAGAGTGTAACAAAACACTTCAGATGAACTCACCTGTAAGAGTGTAACAAAACACTTCAGATGGACTCACCTGTAAGAGTGTAACAAAACACTTCAGATGGACTCACCTGTAAGAGTGTAACAAAACACTTCAGATGAACTCACCTGTAAGAGTGTAACAAAACACTTCAGATGAACTCACCTGTAAGAGTGTAACAAAACACTTCAGATGGACTCACCTGTAAGAGTGTAACAAAACACTTCAGATGGACTCACCTGTAAGAGTGTAATAACTAAACACTTCAGATGAACTCACCTGTAAGAATGTAACAAAACACTCTGTATGGACTCACCTGTAAGAGTGTAACAAAACACTTCAGATGAACTCACCTGTAAGAGTGTAACAAAACACTCTGTATGGACTCACCTGTTAAAGTGCAACGGAACACTCCAGGCTTGACCACCCGGACTTCCTTCCCGTTGACAATAATGGAGTGTTGGTAGTTACTGTTGCCAGGCAACCAGGACAATGAGGCTGATGTTGGTGATACATGGGAGACTTTCAGCTCTGAGGGAACCGGGTACACATCTGGCAGGAGATATCACACATGATCAGTGAGTACACATCTGGCAGGAGATATCACACATGATCAGTGAGTACACATCTGGCAGGAGATATCACACATGATCAGTGGGGTACACATCTGGCAGGAGATATCACACATGATCAGTGAGTACACATCTGGCAGGAGATATCACACATGATCAGTGAGTACACATCTGGCAGGAGATATCACACATGATCAGTGAGTACACATCTGGCAGGAGATATCACACATGATCAGTGAGTACACATCTGGCAGGAGATATCACACATGATCAGTGGAGTACACATCTGGCAGGAGATATCACACATGATCAGTGGGGTACACATCTGGCAGGAGATATCACACATGATCAGTGAGTACACATCTGGCAGGAGATATCACACATGATCAGTGAGGTACACATCTGGCAGGAGATATCACACATGATCAGTGAGTACACATCTGGCAGGAGATATCACACATGATCAGTGAGTACACATCTGGCAGGAGATATCACACATGATCAGTGAGTACACATCTGGCATGAGATATCACACATGATCAGTGAGTACACATCTGGCAGGAGATATCACACATGATCAGTGGAGTACACATCTGGCAGGAGATATCACACATGATCAGTGAGTACACATCTGGCAGGAGATATCACACATGATCAGTGAGGTACACATCTGGCAGGAGATATCACGCATGATCAGTGAGTACACATCATGCAGATGATATCACACATGATCAGTGGGGGACACATCTGGCAGGAGATATCACACATGAACAGTAGGGTACACATCTGGCAGGAGATATCACACATGATCAGTGGGGGACACATCTGGCAGGAGATTTCACACATGATCAGTGGGGGACACATCTGGCAGGAGATATCACACATGATCAGTTGGGGACACATCTGGCAGGAGATATCACACATGATCAGTGGGGGACACATCTGGCAGGAGATATCACACATGATCAGTGGGGGACACATCTGGCAGGAGATATCACACATGATCAGTGGGGGATACATCTGGCAGGAGATATCACACATGATCAGTGGGGGACACATCTGGCAGGAGATATCACACATGATCAGTGGAGATATTGTAGATATCTAGCAGGAGATATCACACATGAACAGTGGAGATATTGTAGATATCTGGCATGGTTCAAACAGGACATGTCATGCATAATCAGTATAGACAATGACACAACCAGTATAGATAATGATGTGACAAACATCTGGCAGAGTTCAAACAGAAGATGCCAACCAACAGATGACATCCAGGGAATGAAAACCAGGGGATGTTAAACAGGGAATGAAAACCAGGGGATGTAGGCTAGGGGTGATACAATCAGTGCTGACAATGACAAGATAAATAGTGTCACTATAGTCTTACTATGACATGGTGCTGACAATGACAAGATAAATTGTGTCACTATAGTCTAACTGTTTTGGTCACTTGAAACGTCATAGAAGTCTAGAGAGAACAATAATGGAGGGGTATATGCCTGGGAAGAGAGGAAGAGGAAGGCCAAGGAGAAGATGGGTGCAGGATGTGGCAGATGATCTCCAGATGGGTGTATCAGACGCAGGACATTTTGCTCAGGATATAAAGGTTTTCCGGAGGGTTGTTATGGCAGCGAGGTTCAGCGAGGGACATGCTACTGAATGAATGAATGAATAGTCTAACTATGACATGGTGCTGACAATGACAAGATAAATTGTTTCACTAGAGTCTAACTATGACATGGTGCTGACAATGACAAGATAAATTGTGTCACTAGAGTCTAACTATGACATGTCAAAGATGGCTGTTTGGTTGTAATTTCTCCAGAAGTGTGTGAGTTGAAACTCTTGTCTAACGTAATGGCCTTTTGTGAATCAGACAGGTAATGGCCTTCAGTTTATCAGACAGTTTATGGAACTCAGTCCGTCAGACAGTTCAAGGCTTTTAGTCCGTCAGACAGTTAAAGTCCTTTAGTCCATCAGACAGTTAAAGTCCTTTAGTCCATCAGACAGTTAAAGTCCTTTAGTCCATCAGACAGTTAAAGTCCTTTAGTCCATCAGACAGTTAAAGTCCTTTAGTCCATCAGACAGTTAATGTCCTTTAGTCCATCAGACAGTTAAAGTCCTTTAGTCCATCAGACAGTTAAAGGCCTTTAGTCCATCAGACAGTTAAAGTCCTTTAGTCCATCAGACAGTTAAAGTCCTTTAGTCCATCAGACAGTTAATGTCCTTTAGTCCATCAGACAGTTAATGTCCTTTAGTCCATCAGACAGTTAAAGTCCTTTAGTCCATCAGACAGTTAAAGGCCTTTAGTCCATCAGACAGTTAATGTCCTTTAGTCCATCAGACAGTTAAAGTCCTTTAGTCCATCAGACAGTTAATGTCCTTTAGTCCATCAGACAGTTAAAGTCCTTTAGTCCATCAGACAGTTAATGTCCTTTAGTCCATCAGACAGTTAATGTCCTTTAGTCCATCAGACAGTTAATGTCCTTTAGTCCATCAGACAGTTAATGTCCTTTAGTCCATCAGACAGTTAATGTCCTTTAGTCCATCAGACAGTTAAAGTAGTCCATCAGACAGTTAATGTCCTTTAGTCCATCAGACTTTAAGTCCTTTAGTCCATCAGACAGTTAATGTCCTTTAGTCCATCAGACAGTTAAAGTCCTTTAGTCCATCAGACAGTTAAAGTCCTTTAGTCCATCAGACAGTTAAAGTCCTTTAGTCCATTTAAAGACCTTTAGTCCATCAGACAGTTAAAGACCTTTAGTCCATCAGACCTTTAGTCCATAAAGTCCTTTAGTCCATCAGACAGTTAAAGTCCTTTAGTCCATCAGACAGTTAAAGTCCTTTAGTCCATCAGACAGTTAAAGTCCTTTAGTCCATCAGACAGTTAATGTCCTTTAGTCCATCAGACAGTTAAAGTCCTTTAGTCCATCAGACAGTTAAAGTCCTTTAGTCCATCAGACAGTTAAAGTCCTTTAGTCCATCAGACAGTTAAAGTCCAGTCCATCAGACAGTTAATGTCCTTTAGTCCATCAGACAGAAGTCCAGTCCATCAGACAGTAAAGTCCTTTAGTCCATCAGACAGTTAAAGTCCTTTAGTCCATCAGACAGTTAAAGTCCTTTAGTCCATCAGACAGTAAAGTCCTTTAGTCCATTTAAGTCTTTAGTCATCAGACAGTTAATGTCCTTTAGTCCATCAGACAGTTAAGTCCTTTCCTTTAGTCCATCAGACAGTTAAAGTCCTTTAGTCCATCAGACAGTTAAAGTCCTTTAGTCCATCAGACAGTTAAAGTCCTTTAGTCCATCAGACAGTTAAAGTCCTTTAGTCCATCAGTCCTTTAGTCCATCAGACAGTTAAAGTCCTTTAGTCAGACCATCATCAGACAGTTAAAGTCCTTTAGTCCATCAGACAGTTAATGTCCTTTAGTCCATCAGACAGTTAATGTCCTTTAGTCCATCAGACAGTTAAAGTCCTTTAGTCCATCAGACAGTTAAAGTCCTTTAGTCCATCAGACAGTTAAAGTCCTTTAGTCCATCAGACAGTTAAAGTCCTTTAGTCCATCAGACAGTTAAAGTCCTTTAGTCCATCAGACAGTTAATGTCCTTTAGTCCATCAGACAGTTAATGTCCTTTAGTCCATCAGACAGTTAATGTCCTTTAGTCCATCAGACAGTTAATGTCCTTTAGTCCATCAGTTAATGTCCAGTTCAGAAGTCCTTTAGTCCATCAGACAGTTAATGTCCTTTAGTCCATCAGACAGTTAATGTCCTTTAGTCCATCAGACAGTTAATGTCCTTTAGTCCATCAGACAGTTAAAGTCCTTTAGTCCATCAGACAGTTAAAGTCCTTTAGTCCATCAGACAGTTAATGTCCTTTAGTCCATCAGACAGTTAAAGTCCTTTAGTCCATTTAGTCCTTTATCAGACAGTCCATCAGACAAGTTCCTTTAGTCCATCAGACAGTTAAAGTCCTTTAGTCCATCAGACAGTTAATAGTCCCTTTAGTCCATCAGACAGTTAAAGTCCTTTAGTCCATCAGACAGTTAATGTCCTTTAGTCCATCAGACAGTTAATGTCCTTTAGTCCATCAGACAGTTAATAAAGTCCTTTAGTCCATCAGACAGTTAATGTCCTTTAGTCCAGTTAAATCCTTTAGTCCATCAGACAGTTAAAGTCCTTTAGTCCATCAGACAGTTAATGTCCTTTAGTCCATCAGACAGTTAATGTCCTTTAGTCCATCAGACAGTTAATGTCCTTTAGTCCATCAGACAGTTAAAGTCCTTTAGTCCATCAGACAGTTAATGTCCTTTAGTCCATCAGACAGTTAATGTCCTTTAGTCCATCAGACAGTTAATGTCCTTTAGTCCATCAGACAGTTAATGTCCTTTAGTCCATCAGACAGTTAATGTCCTTTAGTCCATCAGACAGTTAATGTCCTTTAGTCCATCAGACAGTTAATGTCCTTTAGTCCATCAGACAGTTAATGTCCTTTAGTCCATCAGACAGTTAAGTCCTTTAGTCCATCAGACAGTTAATGTCCTTTAGTCCATCCATCAGACAGTTAATGTCCTTTAGTCCATCAGACAGTTAATCCTTTAGTCCATCAGACAGTTAATGTCCTTTAGTCCATAGTCCATCAGACAGTTAATGTCCTTTAGTCCATCAGACAGTTAATGTCCTTTAGTCCATCAGACAGTTAATGTCCTTTAGTCCATCAGACAGTTAATGTCCTTTAGTCCATCAGACAGTTAATGTCCTTTAGTCCATCAGACAGTTAATGTCCTTTAGTCCATCAGACAGTTAATGTCCTTTAGTCCATCAGACAGTTAATGTCCTTTAGTCCATCAGACAGTTAATGTCCTTTAGTCCATCAGACAGTTAATGTCCTTTAGTCCATCAGACAGTTAATGTCCTTTAGTCCATCAGACAGTTAATGTCCTTTAGTCCATCAGACAGTTAATGTCCTTTAGTCCATCAGACAGTCCTTTAATCAGTCCTTTAGTCCATCAGACAGTTAATGTCCTTTAGTCCATCAGACAGTTAATGTCCTTAGTCCATCAGACAGTTAATGGCCTTTAGTCCATCAGACAGTTAATGTCCTTTAGTCCATCAGACAGTTAATGTCCTTTAGTCCATCAGACAGTTAATGTCCTTTAGTCCATCAGACTTTAGTCCATCAGACAGTTAATGGCCTTTAGTCCATCAGACAGTTAATGGCCTTTAGTCCATCAGACAGTTAATGGCCTTTAGTCCATCAGACAGTTAATGTCCTTTAGTCCATCAGACAGTTAATGGCCTTTAGTCCATCAGACAGTTAATGTCCTTTAGTCCATCAGACAGTTAATGTCCTTTAGTCCATCAGACAGTTAAAAGCCTTTAGTCCATCAGACAGTTAATGCCTTTAGTCCATCAGACAGTTAATTTAGTCCATCAGACAGTTAAAGTCCTTTAGTCCATCAGACAGTTAACTTTAGTCCATCAGACAGTTAAAGTAGTCCTTTAGTCCATCAGACAGTTAAAGTAGTCCGTCAGACAGTTAATGTCCTTTAGTCCATCAGACAGTTAAAGTAGTCCGTCAGACAGTTAATGTCCTTTAGTCCATCAGACAGTTAATGGCCTTTAGTCCATCAGACAGTTAAAGTAGTCCGTCAGACAGTTAATGTCCTTTAGTCCATCAGACAGTTAAAGTAGTCCGTCAGACAGTTAATGTCCTTTAGTCCATCAGACAGTTAATGGCCTTTAGTCCATCAGACAGTTAAAGTAGTCCGTCAGACAGTTAATGTCCTTTAGTCCATCAGACAGTTAAAGTAGTCCGTCAGACAGTTAATGTCCTTTAGTCCATCAGACAGTTAAAGTAGTCCGTCAGACAGTTAGTCCATCAGACAGTTAATGTCCTTTAGTCCATCAGACAGTTAAAGTAGTCCGTCAGACAGTTAATGTCCTTTAGTCCATCAGACAGTTAAAGTAGTCCGTCAGACAGTTAATGGCCTTTAGTCCATCAGACAGTTAATGTCCTTTAGTCCATCAGACAGTTAATGGCCTTTAGTCCATCAGACAGTTAAAGTCCTTTAGTCCATCAGACAGTTAAAGTCCTTTAGTCCATCAGACAGTTAATGTCCTTTAGTCCATCAGACAGTTAATGTCCTTTAGTCCATCAGACAGTTAATGGCCTTTAGTCCATCAGACAGTTAATGGCCTTCAGACAGTTAATGGCCTTTAGTCCGTCAGACAGTTAATGGCAGCTGTGTTTCTGTGTAATGATAGACCACATATGTTGGGAGCTGTGTCTCTGCTTAACAACAGAACCATCTCTTTGGAAGAAAAACAAAACTGTACCTTTCCCAACAACCATTGTGCACTGAGCATCCTTTGACTGGCCTCTGTTTGACAAACATCGAACACAAACTCTGTGTATCTGAAAGTAACACAGTTTCCAAAATTGACACATCTGAAACAAATCTTTTAGCTTTATGCATATATTCTTTTATCTAGGTCAGATGTGTCCTTAACCTGCAACTGGCTTAGTAAGCCAGGCAGGGAATTATTTATTTATCTAGATGAGATATTTACATTTGAAGTTGACACAGCAAGGATCTAGATGAGATATTTACACTTTACCTTGACACAGCAAAAATCTAGATGAGATATTTACACTTTACCTTGACACAGCAAGGATTTAGATGAGATATTTGGACTTTACCTTGACACAGCAAAAATCTAGATGAGATATTTACACTTTGCCTTGACAAAGCAAGGATCTAGATAAGATATTTGGACTTTACCTTGACACAGCAAGGATCTAGATGAGATATTTACACTTTACCTTCAGATAGCAAGGATCTAGATGAGATATTTGCACTTTACCTTGACACAGCAAAGATCTAGATGAGATATTTACACTTTACCTTGACACAGCACGGATCTAGATGAGATTTTTACACTTTACCTTGACATAGCAAGGATCTATTTGTGATATTTACACTTTACCTTGACACAGCAAGAATCTAGATGAGATATTTGCACTTTACCTTGACACATCAAGGATCTAGATGAGATATTTGCACTTTACCTTGACACAGCAAGGATCTAGATGAGATATTTACACTTTACCTTGACACAGCAAGGATCTAGATGAGATATATTTACACTTTACCTTGACACAGCAAGGATCTAGATGAGATATTTACACTTTACCTTGACACAGCAAGGATCTAGATGAGATATTTACACTTTAACTTGACACAGCAAGGATCTAGATGAGATATTTACACTTTACCTTGACACAGCAATGATCTAGATGAGATATTTACACTTTACCTTTAGATAGCAAGGATCTAGATGAGATATTTGCACTTTACCTTGACACAGCAAGGATCATGATGAGATATTTCACTTTACCTTGACATAGCAAGGATCTAGATGAGATATTAAAACTTTACCTTGACACAGCAAGGATCTAGATGAGATATTTGCACTTTACCTTGACATAGCAAGGATCTAGATGAGATATTTCACTTTACTTTGGCACAGCAAGGATCTAGATGAGATGAAGAGATATTTACACTTTACCTTGACACAGCAAGGATCTAGATGAAATATTTACACTTCACCTTGATATAGCAGGGATCTAGATGAGATATTTACACTTTACCTTGACATAGCAAGGATCTAGATGAGATATTTACACTTTACCTTGACACAGCAAGGATTTATATGAGATATTTACACTTTACCTTGACACAGCAAGGATTTATATGAGATATTTACACTTTACCCTGGCACAGCAAGGATCTAGATGTGATTTTTACACTTAACCTTGGCACATTAAGGGTCTAGATGAGATATTAAAACTTTACCTTGACACAGCAAGGATCTAGAGAAATTTACACTTTACCTTGGCATAGCAAGGATATAGATAAGATTTTTACACTTTATCTTGACACAGCAAGGATTAAGATAAGATGAAGAGACATTTACGTTTTACCTTGATGCAGCAAAAATCTAGATGAGATCGGTACACTTTACCTTGACACAGCAAAGATTAAGATAAGATATTTATACTTTACCTTGACACAGCAAAGATTAAGATAAGATATTTATACTTTACTTTGACACAGCAAAGATTAAGTTAAGATATTTATACTTTACCTTAACACAGCAAAGATTAAGATGAGATGTTTATACTTTACCTCAACACAACAAGGTTAAGATGACATGATGAGATATGTGTAATTTACTCAACATTTTACTCCCATTTCCATACCGGACCATTCTAGCAACAAACAGTACAGCAACTTACAGTGTTGGAACTAACACCTTCTATGAGTGCTTTTGTCCGCTCTGCAGCCTTGACTGAAGTCTTCAGTTGACCATCCACTAGAACCTGGTAGGACTGGATCTCTAGACCGGGGCTGGGGTCTGGACCTCTCCAGCTGATGAGCAGGCTGTTGGTCAGTTGTCGGTCCAGGCACAGACTTCTAGGACAGGGGGGTACTGGACAGTGAATCAATGAATCAAGAACTGACATCACTGCAATCAGGACATTCCCACATGTGCTCTGTCCCCCTCTTCAGTAGAGTAGACATGCTATTTCATTACCCTATTGAACTTCAACCTGTTATATGCTGCACAGTGTACGAACATTGCTACTTATTCAGTGTAGTCCTGCTGGTAATATTCTCCATATTTATGGTGGCCTGAATGTTCAGATGGCCATCTGGTTGCTGAATGTTCAGATGGCCACCTGGTTGCTGAATGTTCAGATGGCCACATAGTTGCTGAATGTTCAGATGGCCACCTGGTTGCTGAATGTTCAGACTGTACCTGGTTGCTGAATGTTCAGACTGTACCTGGTTGCTGAATGTTCAGATGGCCACCTGGTTGCTGAATGTTCAGATGGCCACCTGGTTGCTGAATGTTCAGATGGCCACCTGGTTGCTGAATGTTCAGACTGTACCTGGTTGCTGAATGTTCAGACTGTACCTGGTTGCTGAATGTTCAGATGGCCACCTGGTTGCTGAATGTTCAGATGGCCACCTGGTTGCTGAATGTTCAGACTGTACCTGGTTGCTGAATGTTCAGATGGCCACCTGGTTGCTGAATGTTCAGACTGTACCTGGTTGCTGAATGTTCAGATGGCCACCTGGTTGCTGAATGTTCAGATGGCCACCTGGTTGCTGAATGTTCAGACTGTACCTGGTTGCTGAATGTTCAGATGGCCACCTGGTTGCTGAAGTGCCTCTTATAAACCTCTAAGCCTCTTCACAAGCTACCTCTATATCAGGCTGAGCTAGATCTTCAAATCTATGTATGTTTAAGAGGGTGAGATCCAGTGCATGGTCACTCTTGTGATTTCTGAAGTGCTTCATGAAGTGATGCTTCTGAGGCCTGCTAGTTCTGGACTGTTGGTCTTCAGTGTTGAGACCATAAGCTGCACATCTTTGGACAGTAATATGATTAGGTGATATCAGGGGACAGTGGAGTGATACGATTAGATATCTGGGGACAGTAGAGTGATATGATTAGGTGATATCAGGGGACAGTGGAGTGATACGATTAGATATCTGGGGACAGTAGAGTGATATGATTAGGTGATATCAGGGGACAGTGGAGTGATACGATTAGATATCTGGGAACAGTAGAGTGATGTGATTAGATATCAGGGGACAGTAGAGTGATGTGATTAGATATCTGGGGACAGTGGAGTGATATGATTAGATATCAGGGGACAGTAGAGTGAAATGATTAGATATCAGGGGACAGTAGAGTGATGTGATTAGATATCAGGGGACAGTAGAGTGATGTGATTAGATATCAGGGGACAGTAGAGTGATGTGATTAGATATCAGGGGACAGTAGAGTGATATGATTAGATATCTGGGGACAGTGGAGTGATATGATTAGATATCAGGGGACAGTAGAGTGAAATGATTAGATATCAGGGGACAGTGGAGTGATTTTATTAGGTGAAATTGAAATCAGGGGACATAATAGTGTTATAATTAGGTGATATCAAGGGACAGTGGAGTGTTATAATTAGGTGATATCAGGAGACAGTGGAGAGTGATAATTAGGTGATATCAGAGGACAGTGGAGTGTTATAATTAGGTGATATCAGGGGACAGTGGAGCGATATGATTAGATGATATTATGGGACAGTGAAGTGATATGATGAAATGATATCAGGGGACAGTGAAGATATATGATTAGATGATATCAGGGGACAGTAGAGTGATATGATTAGATGATATCAAGGGACAGTGGAGTGATATAATTAGATGATATCAGGGGACAGTGGAGTGATTTGATTATATGATATCAGGAAACAGTAGAGTGATATAATTAGATGATCTCAGGGGACAGTAGAGTGATACAAATAGATGATATCAAGGGAATGTTGAGTGATATAATTAGATGATATCAGGGGACAGTGGAGTGATTTGATTATATGATATCAGGAAACAGTAGAGTGATATAATTAGATGATCTCAGGGGACAGTAGAGTGATATGATTAGATGTCTGGGGACAGTAGAGTTATTCGATTAGATGATATCAGGGGACAGTGGAGTCATAAGATTAGATGATATCAAGACTAACCTCATCAAGATGATGATGTGAACAAATCAAAGTTTAACTAAAAAGAACAAGAAAAATAGTCACGGTAACAGACAGGGGGGATCACTCACAATGTTGGGCAGCAGCACCGTTTGTGAGGGTCCTGCTGTTGACGGACACATCGTCCTCATCAATCTCAGCGATATCTTCCAGGTCACTCAACGACTCTTCCGGATTTTCTTCAGAGGTCGCTGCAAGAGTTCAAACAATGACAACAGTTAAGTTAAACATGAATGAAATATGGTTGCTCCTTGTGAATGATGACAACAGGTGAGTTAAACAGCCCTATAACAATGTTATATCTACCAGTTCTATAACAATGTTATATCTACCAGTTCTATAACAATGTTATATCCACCAGTCCTATAACAATGTTATATCTACCAGTCCTATAACAATGTTATATCCACCAGTCCTATAACAATGTTATATCTACCAGTCCTATAACAATGTTATATCTACCAGTCCTATAACAATGTTATATCTACCAGTCCTATAACAATGTTATATCTACCAGTCCTATAACAATGTTATATCTACCAGTCCTATAACAATGTTATATCCACCAGTCCTATAACAATGTTATATCTACCAGTCCTATAACAATGTTATATCCACCAGTCCTATAACAATGTTATATCTACCAGTCCTATAACAATGTTATATCCACCAGTCCTATAACAATGTTATATCTACCAGTCCTATAACAATGTTATATCTACCAGTCCTATAACAATGTTATATTTACCAGTCCTATAACAATGTTATATCTACCAGTCCTATAACAATGTTATACCTACCAGTCCTATAACAATGTTATATCTACCAGTCCTATAACAATGTTATATCTACCAGTCCTATAACAATGTCAGCTCCAAATGTCACCAGCCACAGATGCCAACATTCAGTCATACAGCCACTAACTGCCCAATTATGCTGACCCAACCTGTGATTATATGTACTTTGTCAACACAAGCCAGCACAGTATTTATTCTCCAGCTGGCTATCAATTACCCCGCCATTCTCATAAAACCCTGGCAGGTCTGTATAATTCAGGATGGCTGCTGCACAATATACAATCAATCATCTAGGATGGCATTGTATTTCTGGTACAAGATGAACCATGAGTCAGTGTTGAATATTTGATGAATCTGACTGCAGGTCTTTGCATCCTTCAGGATGGTGAATATTTCACTGGTCATTAAGTGCAGAGAAGGAGGTGTATGGAAAGACAAGCAGGAAGAAACAGGAGGAGAAGGAAAGGGAGAGGTAGGAACAGAGAGGTAAGGATGAGAGAGAGAGAGAGAGAGAGAGAGAGAGAGAGAGAGAGAGAGAGAGAGAGAGAGAGAGAGAGAGAGAGAGAGAGAGAGAGATAAAGAGAGAGAGAGAAATGAAAGGAGGAAACAAAAAAGAGGGAGAGCTGAACAGATAAAGAAAAGGTGTGGAAATAGAGATGAATTAAGAGAAGGAGAAAAGTGAAGAGAAATATAAAGGCATAGGAAAGCAGAGGAGGCAGAGGGAAAGAGTGAATAGAGGAAGACAAAGACACAAATACATCTATACACATACTGTCAGAAACAGAGAACTCCAAACTATGGCTGAGAAGATGAAAGAAAATGTAATGATTATCGCACAAAAAAAGCCAAACTAAACACAAACTGTATTCAAATGACAAATACTAAAGAAACTGGAATATTAACGGTCACTGCACAATCTGGTAATAATACAGTTCAAAATGTAAAGCAATGAAGCATCTGATCTTTTTTGTTCAAGTCGTTTCTCAATGGAATCTGAATGAGATCTTGTATCTAAGCCAGTTATTGTGTTCACCTATCTACTGCAATCTGGTGACTGTCAATCACTTGCAAGATCTGGTATCTAAGCCAGTTATTGTGTTCACATATCTACTGCAATCTGGTGACAGTCAATCACTTGCAAGATCTGGTATCTAAGCCAGTTATTGTGTTCACCTATCTACTGCAATCTGGTGACTGTCACTCACTTGCAAGATCTGGTATCTAAGCCAGTTTTGTGTTCATCTATCTACTGCAATCTGGTGACTGTCACTCACTTGCAAGATCTGGTATCTAAGCCAGTTTTGTGTTCATCTATCTACTGCAATCTGGTGACTGTCACTCACTTGCAAGATCTGGTATCTAAGCCAGTTATTGTGTTCACCTAACTACTACAATCTGGTGACTGTCACTCACTTGCAAGATCTGGTATCTAAGCCAGTTATTGTGTTCACCTAACTACTACAATCTGGTGACTGTCACTCACTTGCAAGATCTGGTATCTAAGCCAGTTATTGTGTTTACCTATCTACTGCAATCTGGTGACTGTCAATCACTTGCAAGATCTGGTATCTAAGCCAGTTATTGTGTTCATCTATCTACTGCAATCTGGTGACTGTCAATCACTTGCAAGATCTGGTATCTAAGCCAGTTATTGTGTTCATCTATCTACTGCAATCTGGTGACTGTCAATCACTTGCAAGATCTGGTATCTAAGCCAGTTATTGTATTCACCTATCTACTGCAATCTGGTGACTGTCAATCACTTGCAAGATCTGGTATCTAAGCCAGTTAATGTGTTCATCTATCTACTGCAATCTGGTGACTGTCAATCACTTGCAAGATCTGGTATCTAAGCCAGTTATTGTGTTCATCTATCTACTGCAATCTGGTGACTGTCAATCACTTGCAAGATCTGGTATCTAAGCCAGTTATAGTGTTCATCTTTCTACTGCAATCTGGTGACTGTCAATCACTTGCAAAATCTGGTATCTAAGCCAGTTATTGTGTTCACCTAACTACTACAATCTGGTGACTGTCAATCACTTGTAAGATCTGGTATCTAAGCCAGTTATAGTGTTCATCTATCTACTGCAATCTGGTGACTGTCAATCACTTGCAAGATCTGGTATCTAAGCCAGTTATTGTGTTCATCTATCTACTGCAATCTGGTGATATTGTGTTCATCTATCTACTGCAATCTGGTGACTGTCAATCACTTGCAAGATCTGGTATCTAAGCCAGTTATTGTGTTCATCTATCTACTGCAATCTGGTGATATTGTGTTCATCTATCTACTGCAATTTGGTGACTGTCAATCACTTGCAAGATCTGGTATCTAAGCCAGTTATTGTGTTCATCTATCTACTGCAATCTGGTGACTGTCAATCACTTGCAAGATCTGGTATCTAAGCCAGTTATTGTGTTCATCTATCTACTGCAATCTGGTGATATTGTGTTCATCTATCTACTGCAATTTGGTGACTGTCAATCACTTGCAAGATCTGGTATCTAAGCCAGTTATTGTGTTCATCTATCTACTGCAATTTGGTGACTGTCAATCACTTGCAAGATCTGGTATCTTAGCCAGTTATTGTGTTCATCTATCTACTGCAATTTGGTGACTGTCAATCACTTGCAAGATCTGGTATCTAAGCCAGTTATTGTGTTCACCTAACTACTGCAATCTGGTGACTGTCAATCACTTGCAAGATCTGGTATCTAAGCCAGTTATAGTGTTCATCTATCTACTGCAATCTGGTGACTGTCAATCACTTGCAAGATCTGGTATCTAAGCCAGTTATTGTGTTCACCTATCTACTGCAATCTGGTGACTGTCAATCACTTGCAAGATCTGGTATCTAAGCCAGTTATAGTGTTCATCTATCTACTGCAATCTGGTGACTCTCAATCACTAGCAAGATCTGGTATCTAAGCCAGTTATTGTGTTCATCTATCTACTGCAATCTGGTGACTGTCAATCACTTGCAAGATCTGGTATCTAAGCCAGTTATTCTTCTTCTTCTTCTTTGCGTTCACCAGCTGTACACTCTGGCGGAAAGTTCTGGTTGCTCGTCCACTACTGAACTGCAGTTCTGCTCCAGAACCTGAGTGTTGCGTGTGCATGAGTTTTACAGATCTCATTCTCTTAAATAAAGACTGTTGGTTCCTTGCCTCTCCGGCAGATGCATTTCGACTTCAAAGGAAGCTCCCCAATTAGTCGACTCTTACAACATGCTTTTGGGGAGGCAGTGGGTCTATTCTAGTTTTCCCCACAATGGGGCCCCGGAACCCACACTCACTTGTGTCACACATTTCCTAGGTCTACTGACTTCAGCTGCTGCTTGAATCTTTTGATACTGACCCAGAAGTACAATTTAGACACAAACAGATCATCTTAGTGTCGAATGTAAGACAGACCTGCGTGCCTAATTTGTAACCCTTTGAAAATAAAGTTCGTTCGTTCGTACCTCTGACATGTGATGTCAAAGCACCACCTACATGTGATACAATCACATACCTCTGACATATGATGTCATAGCACCACATACATGTGGTAGTATCACGTACCTCTGACATGATATGTCATAGCACCACCTACATGTGATACAATCACATACCTGTGACATGTGGTAGTATCACCTACCTCTGACATGATATGTCATAGCACCACCTATATGTGTTACAATCACATACCTGTGACATGTGGTAGTATCACCTACCTTTGACATGATATGTCATAGCACCACCTATATGTGATACAATCACATACCTGTCACATGTGGTAGTATCACCTACCTCTGACATGATATGTCATAGCACCACCTACATGTGATACAATCACATACCTGTGACATTTGATAGTATCACCTACCTCTAACATGATATGTCATAGCACGATCTATATGTGACACAATCACATACCTGTGACATGTGGTAGTATCACCTACCTCTGACATGATATGACATAACACCACCTACATGTGATACAATCACATACCTGTGACATGTGGTAGAAACAAACCCACTTACTGCGTGTTACTGGCTTGGGCTGCCTGCCCTCCCTGCCTGAGAAAGTGGTATCGTTGTTGTTGTTGTTGTTGTTGATGATGATGTTTGTGGTGCTTGAACCAGCCGGTAAAGTGGTTGCTGATGCCACCGACGGGCTAGGCACAACTGGTGTGGTGGAATTCATGTTTGCATTACTGTAGTAGCCATGTCCAGCCTGGAGCAGAGCTGCATGAAACTGCAGCAAATCTTCATCTGTAGAAGCAGAGATCAGCACATCTGTCAGTGAGCAGCAATAATACAAAACATGCAGTTCATATGAAAGCACAAAGGACACCTAAATAATTCATCAATGAAGGATCTCTCTTGATGTCAGCAATGGTAGTTGGGGTCAAAGCTGGTCAAGGTATAGGTCTGCAGTTGTGAGACAGAGACATTCTTTAGTCCTCCATCAACTTATAGGTCTGCAGTTGTGAGACAGAGACATTCTTTAGTGCTCCATCATCTTTTAGGTCTGCAGTGGTGAGACAGAGACATTCTTTAGTGCTCCATGAACTTATAGGTCTGCAGATGTGAGACAGAGATTCTTTAGTGCTCCATTAACTTATAGGTCTGCAGATGTGAGATAGAGACATTATTTAGGGCTCCATAAACTTACAGGTCTGCAGTTGTGAGACAGAGACATTCTTTAGTCCTCCATCAACTTATAGGTCTGCAGTTGTGAGACAGACATTCTTTAGTGCTCCATGAACTTATAGGTCTGCAGTTGTGAGACAGAGACATTCTTTATGGCTCCATGAACTTATAGGTCTGCAGATGTGAGACAGACATTCTTTAGTCCTCCATCAACTTATAGGTCTGCAGATGTGAGACAGAGACATTCTTTAGTGTTCCATGAACTTATAGGTCTGCAGATGTGAGACAGAGACATTCTTTAGTGCTCCTTTAACTTATAGGTCTGCAGTTGTGAGACAGAGACATTCTTTAGTGCTCCATGAACTTATAGGTCTGCAGTTGTGAGACAGAGACATTCTTTAGTCCTCCATCAACTTATAGGTCTGCAGATGTGAGACAGAGACATTCTTTAGTGCTCCATCAACTTATAGGTCTGCAGATGTGAGACAGAGACATTCTTTAGTGCTCCATCAACTTATAGGTCTGCAGTTGTGAGACAGAGACATTCTTTAGTGCTCCATTAACTTATAGGCCTGCAGTTGTGAGACAGAGACATTCTTTAGTGCTCCATGAACTTATAGGTCTGCAGATGTGAGACAGAGACATTCTTTAGTGCTCCATTAACTTATAGGTCTGCAGTTGTGAGACAGAGACATTCTTTAGTGCTCCATGAACTTATAGGTCTGCAGTTGTGAGACAGAGACATTCTTTAGTGCTCCATCAACTTATAGGTCTGCAGTTGTGAGACAGAGACATTCTTTAGTGCTCCATTAACTTATAGGTCTGCAGATGTGAGACAGAGACATTCTTTAGTGCTCCATTAACTTATAGGTCTGCAGATGTAAGACAGAGACATTCTTTAGTGCTCCATTAACTTATAGGTCTGCAGTTGTGAGACAGAGACATTCTTTAGTGCTCCATTAACTTATAGGTCTGCAGATGTGAGACAGAGACATTCTTTAGTGCTCCATTAACTTATAGGTCTGCAGATGTGAGACAGAGACATTCTTTAGTGCTCCATTAACTTATAGGTCTGCAGATGTGAGACAGAGACATTCTTTAGTGCTCCATTAACTTATAGGTCTGCAGTTGTGAGACAGAGACATTCTTTAGTGCTCCATCAACTTATAGGTCTGCAGTTGTCAGACAGAGACATTCTTTAGTGCTCCATTAACTTATAGGTCTGCAGTTGTGAGACAGAGACATTCTTTAGTGCTCCATTAACTTATAGGTCTGCAGATGTGAGACAGAGACATTCTTTAGTGCTCCATCAACTTATAGGTCTGCAGTTGTCAGACAGAGACATTCTTTAGTGCTCCATTAACTTATAGGTCTGCAGATGTGAGACAGAGACATTCTTTAGTGCTCCATCAACTTATAGGTCTGCAGATGTGAGACAGAGACATTCTTTAGTGCTCCATCAACTTATAGGTCTGCAGTTGTCAGACAGAGACATTCTTTAGTGCTCCATTAACTTATAGGTCTGCAGTTGTCAGACAGAGACATTCTTTAGTGTGCTCATTAACTTATAGGTCTGCAGTTGTGAGACAGAGACATTCTTTAGTGCTCCATTAACTTATAGGTCTGCAGATGTGAGACAGAGACATTCTTTAGTGCTCCATCAACTTATAGGTCTGCAGTTGTCAGACAGAGACATTCTTTAGTGCTCCATTAACTTATAGGTCTGCAGTTGTGAGACAGAGACATTCTTTAGTGCTCCATTAACTTATAGGTCTGCAGTTGTGAGACAGAGACATTCTTTAGTGCTCCATGAACTTATAGGTCTGCAGTTGTGAGACACAGACATTCTTTAGTGCTCCATCAACTTATAGGTCTGCAGTTGTGAGACAGAGACATTCTTTAGTGCTCCATGAACTTATAGGTCTGCAGATGTGAGACAGAGATTCTTTAGTGCTCCATGAACTTATAGGTCTGCAGATGTGAGACAGAGACATTCTTTAGTGCTCCATGAACTTATAGGTCTGCAGATGTGAGACAGAGACATTCTTTAGTGCTCCATTAACTTATAGGTCTGCAGATGTGAGACAGAGACATTCTTTAGTGCTCCATGAACTTATAAGTCTGCAGATGTGTGACAGAGACATTCTTTAGTGTTCCATGAACTTATAGGTCTGCAGTTGTGAGACAGAGACATTCTTTATGGCTCCATCAACTTATAGGTCTGCAGTTGTGAGACAGAGACATTATTTAGGGCTCCAAGAACTTATAAGTCTGCAGTTGTGAGACAGAGACATTCCTTAGTGCTCCATGAACTTATAGGTCTGCAGTTGTGAGACAGAGACATTCTTTAGTGCTCCATGAACTTATAGGTCTGCAGATGTGAGACAGAGACATTCTTTAGTGCTCCATAAACTTACAGGTCTGCAGTTGTGAGACAGAGACATTCTTTAGTGCTCCATGAACTTACAGGTCTGCAGTTGTGAGACAGAGACAATCTTTAGTGCTCCATCCACTTATAGGTCTGCAGATGTGAGACAGAGACATTCTTTAGTGCTCCATTAACTTATAGGTCTGCAGTTGTGAGACAGAGACATTCTTTAGTGCTCCATGAACTTATAGGTCTGCAGTTGTGAGACAGAGATATTCTTTAGTGCTCCATCAACTTATAGGTCTGCAGATGTGAGACAGGGCCATTCTTTAGTGCTCCATGAACTTATAGGTCTGCAGTTGTGAGACAGAGATATTCTTTAGTGCTCCATCAACTTATAGGTCTGCAGATGTGAGACAGGGCCATTCTTTAGTGCTTCATGAACTTATAGGTCTGCAGTTGTGAGACAGAGACATTCTTTAGTGCTCCATCAACTAATAGGTCTGCAGTTGTGAGACAGAGATATTCTTTAGTGCTCCATCAACTTATAGGTCTGCAGTTGTGAGACAGAGACATTCTTTAGTGCTCCATGAACTTATAGGTCTGCAGATGTGAGACAGAGATTCTTTAGTGCTCCATAAACTTACAGGTCTGCAGTTGTGAGACAGAGATTCTTTAGTGCTCCATGAACTTATAGGTCTGCAGATGTGAGACAGAGACATTCTTTAGTGCTCCATAAACTTACAGGTCTGCAGTTGTGAGACAGAGACATTCTTTAGTGCTCCAAGAAACCACAGGTCCACAGATGTGACAGAGCCATTCTTTTGTGCTCCATAATCCTACAGGTTGAGATGAACCTTAGCTGACTACGTATCCGCTTTCGCCACGGTTCAACTCTATATGACTACTGCAACATAACTTGCATGGCTCTAACGTCTAAGACTGAAAAAATAAACCGCTCAGCTTTCTTGTACGTGCTATCAGTTTATTCTGTTGCATTTATTCAACATGCTCCAACTATTGTTCACACCTCCATCGCTTAGGACGTATTCAAACACTGGTCATTCACACGACATGAGTCTAGCTCGGGCCTACCCCCGTCTACTCAACTGGCCCCAAGACTCTCGTGCGGTTGTTTGTCCCACGGTTGTTTGTCCCACGGTTGTTTGTCCCACGGATTTTCCGCTTGGCTTGCTGTGGGTGTGGAGACCATACAAAGCAGGGTCATTACACTGGTCAACAAAAATGAAATTAATTTAGCATCTTATCAGACAGGATAAAACTCTCAACAGCCATTTGAAAAAACAAGCCTGTTATTTCCTTCCATCAAATGGCAGCTGAAGGATGATGGTATCAGTTGAAGACTGGAAACCTTACCTCAATGTGTGGGACCCACAGTATGAGACTGGGTCAAACCTGGATCCCTGTGGGTCAGAAACTATCCCACAACCCAGGGATTTTAACCCAGTGTGAATGGGTCAGCAGAGAAATGCTCCAGCTACTGAGCAGCTGAAACAACAGTCACAAGTACAAGAATCTACTATATACTTGCCTTCAACTTTCTCAATGAAATTAGATGGCACCAGACCTTGTCGACCATCAATCAATTCTCCGTCAAAGAAACCATCCTAAAATGTCAACAACAAAAACATGTGGTTACTCCACTGACCAAACAACCACTGGACCACATTACAAAATTAAAACATAGAAACCCACCACATGCAATAGTAACAACAACAACAGCAAAAACATGTGGTTACACCACTGACCAAACAACCACTGGACCACATTACAAAATTAAAACATATAAACCCACCACATGCAATAGTAACAACAACAACAACAACAATAATAATAATACTAATGACCATTAAAAAAATTCTAACTTTAAACAACTAACAAATAAACAAACGAAAAAAAATTCTATCTATCTCTTCAACAAACAAGACAAATCTCATCCATCTCTCCAACAAACAAGACAAACCTAATCCATCTCTCAAAGAAGCAAGACAAACCTAATCTATCTCTTCAAAAAACAAAACAAACCTAATCCATCTCTTGAACAAACAAGACAAACCCAATCAATCCCTTCAATTAACAAAATAAACCTCATCCATCTCTCTAATAAACAAAATAAATATCATGCTCTCCAATAAACAAAACAAACCTAATCCATCTCTCCAATAAACAAAACAAACCTAATCCATCTCTCCAATAAACAAAACAAACCTCATCTATCCCTCCAATAAACAGAACAACCCGCATCCATCTCTCCAATAAACAAAACAAACCACATCTATCTCTCCAATAAGCAAAACAAACCTCATCTATCCCTCCAATAAACAAAACAAACTTTGTCTATCTCTTCAACAAACAAAACAAACCTCATCCATCTCTCCAATTAAACAAAACAAACCTCATCCATCTCTCCAATAAACAGAACAAACCTCATCCATCTCTCCAATAAACAGAACAAACCTCATCCATCTCTCCAATAAACAGAACAAACCTCATCCATCTCTCCAATAAACAGAACAAACCTCATCCATCTCTCCAACAATCAGCACATAGTCTCCTGCAGAAAGTGGTAGCTCCGCCTCCGGGTTCTCATTGGGGGAAAACTCAAAAGGGTCATAATTATATTTAGCAATGTACACTTGGATTGGTCCTTTCTGTGCCCAGGAAGACAACAAACTCTGGCCCACTGATCGCTCATTTTGATTCTGACAAGAAGAGGAGCATTCACAGAAAGTGCGTTAGAAGCAATGGAGCAATCTGAGGTTTCACACAGTTTCACTATCAATGATTTGGAAAGTCTGAGGGGTTGTGAGTGTGTCTAGTGCCAGCAATAGGTAGGCAGACAAACAATGATACACAGACAAACAATAATACACAGTCAAACAATGATACGCAGACAAAAATGTCAACAAGCAAATAGCGAGATGGGCGGGAAAACAACTTAAATAATCACAGTTAAGAGAAAAGGATAAAGAATGTCTAATAAATTGAGAGTTGTATGTAGATCTGCAGAAAAGACAGACCGACAGACAAACAGACAGACAGAAACAGACAGAGACAAACAGACAGGCAGGCAGACAGACAGGCAGGCAGACACAGGCAGACGGACTTAATGAGAAAGCATTACGTGGAGAGAGAGAAAGAGAGAGAGAGAGAGAGAGAGAGAGAGAGAGAGAGAGAGAGAGGGGGGAGCTGGCTGAAAGACAATCTAGTAATGAGACAGACACACCTATGACATCTGATTACATGAAACAGCTCTAAATGAACTGAGAGTACCAAAAATATCACCACAGTACAAATATCAACACTCTCTGAAAGACAAGATATCATTGACACAATAACAACAGTATAACAGGACGGACGGCGCACACAATGCTGATCTCGTCTCAGTGCACACAGCACACCCTGGTTATATGTCCCAGACCAGAAAAGGGACATTCGACTGGTCTCGGCACCAACATAGTCTACCAAATATTAAAGACCTTGTCTCTTCCCCAGATGATGCAGACAGACTCCACCAACTGATATACACTACCGTGCCTCTCTACTGGTAGTTTTCTGCTCCCTCAAACGAAAGAAAAGCGTTCAAACTTCAGGAACTGCAGTAACCAAGTGGATAATCGATTACAGGAACTGCAGTAACCAAGTGGATAATCGATTACTCTGCCAATCTGATGTTCTAGTTCTCCAAGCCAAGAATATTATCTTAGATCTCAGTACTCCTGGGTCAACATCTTCCCGTGCCCCCCACACAGTACTCCTGGGTCAACATCTTCCCGTGCCCCCCACACAGTACTCCTGGGTCAACATCTTCCCGTGCCCCCCACACAGTACTCCTGGGTCAACACCTTCCCGTGCCCCCCCCCCCACAGTACTCCTGGGTCAACACCTTCCCGCCCCCCCCCCCCCACACAGTACTCCTGGGTCAACACCTTCCCGTGCCCCCCCCCCACACAGTACTCCTGGGTCAACACCTTTCCGTGCCCCCCACAGTACTCCTGGGTCAACACCTTCCCGTGCCCCCCCCCCCCCACACAGTACTTCTGGGTCAACACCTTTCCGCCCCCCCCCACAGTACTCCTGGGTCAACACCTTCCCGTGCCCCCCCCCCCCACACAGTACTCCTGGGTCAACACCTTCCCGTGCCCCCCCCCCCCCCCCACAGTACTCCTGGGTCAACACCTTCCCGTGCCCCCCCCCCACACAGTACTCCTGGGTCAACACCTTCCCCGTGCCCCCCACACAGTACTCCTGGGTCAACACCTTCCCGTGCACCCCCCCCCACAGTACTCCTGGGTCAACACCTTCCCGTGCCCCCCCCCACAGTACTCCTGGGTCAACACCTTCCCGTGCCAACCCCCCCCCCCCCACAGTACTCCTGGGTCAACACCTTCCCATACCCCCCCCCCCACAGTACTCCTGGGTCAACACCTTCCCATGCCCCCCCCCCCCACAGTACTCCAGGGTCAACACCTTCCCATGCCCCCCCCACAGTACTCCTGGGTCAACACCTTCCCGTGGCCCCCCCCCCCCACAGTACTCCTAGGTCAACACCTTCCAGTTCCCCCCCCCCCCACAGTACTCCTGGGTCAACACCTTCCCGTGCCCCCCCCCCCACAGTACTCCTGGGTCAACACCTTCCCGTGCCCCCCACCCCACAGTACTCCTGGGTCAACACCTTCCCGTGCCCCCCCCCCCCCCACAGTACACATGGGTCAACACCTTTCCGTGCCCCCCCCCCACAGTACTCCTGGGTCAACACCTTCCCGTGCCCCTCCCACAGTACTCCTGGGTCAACACCTTCCCGTGCCCCCCCCCCCCACAGTACTCCTGGGTCAACACCTTCCCGTGCCCCCCCCCCCCCACAGTACTCCTGGGTCAACACCTTCCCGTGGCCCCCCCCCCCAGTACTCATGGGTCAACACCTTCCCGTGCCCACCCCCACAGTACTCCTGGGTCAACACTTTCCTGTGCCCACCCCCACCCCCCACAGTACTCCTGGGTCAACACCTTCCCGTGCCCCCACCCCCCCCACAGTACTCCTGGGTCAACACCTTCCCGTGCCCCCACCCCCCACAGTACTCCTGGGTCAACACCTTCCCGTGCCCCCCCCCCACAGTACTCCTGGGTCAACACCTTCCCGTGCCCCCACCCCCACAGTACTCCTGGGTCAACACCTTCCTGTGCCCCCACCCCTCACAGTACTCCTGGGTCAACACCTTCCTGTGCCCGTCCCCCACAGTACTCCTGGGTCATGACCTTCCCGTGGCCCCCCCCCCCCCCACAGTACTCCTGGGTCAACACCTTTCCGTGCCCCCCCCCCGCATTACTCCTGGGTCAACACCTTCCCGTGCCCACCCCCCCCCCCGCATTACTCCTGGGTCAACACCTTCCCGTGCCCCCACCCCCCACAGTACTCCTGGGTCAACACCTTCCCGTGCCCCCACCCCCCACAGTACCCCTGGGTTAAAACCTCCCCCCCCCCCCACAGTACTCCTGGGTTAACACCTTCCCGTGCCCCCCCCCCCACAGTACTCTTGGGTCAACACCTCCCCATGCCCCACTTTCCTCCCCCCCCCCCCCCCCATTGCTCACTTAATGTCCACGGGTCCAAGATGTCAGTCTTCTATCACGTGTTCCAGAATATTCCGCTTTCAATTAAACTTCTGGTTTGAAGTTGGAACTGCAATAATAATTGGAATCAACTATCTTGACTCTATCAAACAATGTACAGTAACGCCGACAGTCGGAGATAACATATGAAACTAACTTCCATAAGTCTAAAACAACAATAAGCAGGTCTGAGCTGGACAGAGACAACACCACAGCAAATATTCCAACACTCACCGGTGACTGTCTGTCCATCTCTGGTGTATTGTCTGCCACAACTCTGGTGTCTGCCGGCTCGACTGGAACACAGAAGCAACAAAATAGATCGTCACCCATCATAAGACAAGACAAACACATACACACGTCTGTATGCGGCGGTTAATCTGTTCTGTTACCCACCCCAGAACATGAGCAGTTAAGTGTCTGCTACCAGTGGTGGTGGTGGGGGGGGGGGGGGGGGGGGGGGGGGGGGGGGGGGGGTGATGGTTGCGCCACCCGCTTACCGCTCCAACCCGTCAGATAATCGCTGCCATTTGTGCAATGTTCGAACGACAAACACACCATAAACGGTTGGATAAATGGCTTGTGCCGACGACTACAATTTGTGTGCTCCACAGGGTGTTCGCTAAGTTCTTCAGACAACTTTTAGTGAGCAACGTATCCGGAGCTGTAGAAAGATGAGTTGCCCAATTCTACCTGTAGACGATTATCAGACAAAGATACGTATTTGTAGAAGAACAGGAGTCTGTCATTGATCAGACAGTTCACTAAACAATACATCAGACAGTACACGGACAATAATACATCAGGCAGTAAACGGACAATACATCAGCCAGTACACTAAACAATACATCAGACAGTACACGGACAATAATACATCAGGCAGTACACCGGACAATACATCAGGCAGTACACCGGACAATACATCAGAGAGTACACCAGACAATACATCAGGCAGTACATGGACAATACATCAGGCAGTACACCGGACAATACATTAGGCAGTATACCGGACAATACATCACAGAATACACCTGACAATACATCAGACAGTACAATGTGCAATACATCAGGCAGTACACCGGACAATACATCAGGCAGTATACAGGACAATACATCATAGAGTACACCTGACAATACATCAGACAGTACAATGTGCAATACATCAGGCTGTACACCGGACAATACATCATAGAGTACACCTGACAATACATCAGGCAGTACAACGGACAAGACATCAGGCAGTACACCAGACAATACATCAGGCAGTACAACGTGCAATACATCAGAGAGTACACCGGACAATACATCAGGCAGTATTCAGGACAATACACCAGGCAGTACACCGGACAATACATCAGATAGTACACCGGACAATACATCAGAGAGTACACCGGACAATAAATCAGGCAGTACACCGGACAATACATCAGAGAGTACACCGGACAATACATCAGGCAGTACACTAGACAATACATCAGGCAGTACACCGGACAATACATAATAGACTACACCGGACAATACATCAGGCAGTACACCGGACAATAAATCAGACAGTACACCGGACAATACATCAGGCAGTAAACCGGACAATTCATCAGGCAGTACACCTGTATCAAAGATGACAGACAGTAAACGAGACAGGCGGTTGCGCACAGACAAGACTGCCATGTGAACGAACTATTAGATGGCTATAGCTTTCTCAACAACGACATGAGACAGGACTATCAGATGGCTATAGCTTTCTCAACAACGACATGAGACAGGACTATCAGATGGCTATAGCTTTCTTAACAACGACGAGAGACAGGACTATCAGATGGCTATAGCTTTCTCAACAACGACATGAGACAGGACTTTCAGATGGCTATAGCTGTCTCAACAACGACGAGAGACAGGACTATCAGATGGCTATAACTTTCTTAAGGGGTCACTACACCAAAAAAAAAAAAATTTTTTATTTACAGAGTTAGAGCAGTTATTTTATAATGGTCATTTGTAGGGATACAAGTTATTACATTTGTATACTTTAAGTGTTAAAAAATTCATAGTTGTCATGGCAATAGCCGCCATCTTGTGAAAAAAACAATATGTACTTAGGATTCTAAAATTTTCAAAACAAACATAGGTATTCCACAATAAATGATAGATTCATGACCTTTTATCCTATTTACAGGTACAGGTCTAGATTATTTACTTTAAACATGTTTTTAAATATTTTTCGTAGAATTTTAAAAAGTAGGTTTATTGAAAAAGTCAAAAAAATCTAGCATCATCGGACAATAATCAAATTTTAAAAAACAAAAACTTTCTAAAATCTACTTTTAGATAGACCAGTCCCTATAATATTGTTTACGAAGTATGCATACAGAATTTCATGTTTCTACTCTTTATATTAGCTTAGATTTTAGGATTTCACACACACAGCAAACTGAAATACAGAGATTAGAGAAAACTGACTTTTAAACTTTTTTTTCTCTTAAAAAAGTGCACGAGGAGGTGTCGTTAGTATTAACTTTTCAATGCTAAATTGTTTACAAATGACATAAATTTTGTGTGTCATCTATTCTACGAATGCCGAACTTTACAAAAACGAACACATTGAAAAAGTGATATTTTTGTCATAAATTGGAAAGAAATGCCGTGTAGTGACCCCTTAACAACGACATGAGACAGGACTATCAGATGGCTATACCTTTCTCAACAACACCATGAGACAGGACTATCAGATGGCTATACCTTTCTTAACAACAGCATGAGACAGGACTATCAGATGGCTATACCTTTCTTAACAACAGCATGAGACAGGACTATTAGATGGCTATACCTTTCTTAACAACAGCATGAGACAGGACTATTAGATGGCTATACCTTTCTCAACAACGACATGAGACAGGACTATAAGATGGCTATACCTTTCTCAACAACGACATGAGACAGTACTATCAGATGGCTATACCTTTCTTAACAACGGCATGAGACATGACTATTAGATGGCTATACCTTTCTCAACTACGACATGAGACAGGACTATAAGATGGCTATACCTTTCTCAACAACGACATGAGACAGTACTATCAGATGGCTATACCTTTCTTAACAACAGCATGAGACAGGACTATCAGATGGCTATACCTTTCTTAACAACAGCATGAGACAGGACTATCAGATGGCTATACCTTTCTCAACAACAACATGAGACAGGACTATCAGATGGCTATACCTTTCTCAACAACGACATGAGACAGGACTATCAGATGGCTATACCTTTCTTAACAACAGCATGAGACAGGACTATCAGATGGCTATACCTTTCTTAACAACAGCATGAGACAGGACTATCAGATGGCTATACCTTTCTCAACAACGACATGAGACAGGACTATCAGATGGCTATAGCTTTCTAAACAACGACGAGAGACAGGACTATCAGATGGCTATACCTTTCTCAACAACGACATGAGACAGGACTATCAGATGGCTATACCTTTCTCAACAACGACATGAGACAGGACTATCAGATGGCTATAGCTTTCTCAACAACGACATGAGACAGGACTATCAGACGGCTATAGCTTTCTCAACAACGACATGAGACAGGACTATCAGATGGCTATAGCTTTCTGAACAACGACATGAGACAGGACTATCAGATGGCTATACCTTTCTCAACAACGACATGAGACAGGACTATTATATTGCTATAGATTTCTCAACAACGACGAGAGACAGGACTATCAGATGATTATAGCTTTCTCAACAACGGCATGAGACAGGACTATCAGATGGCTATAGCTTTCTCAACAACGACATGAGACAGGACTATCAGATGGCTATAGCTTTCTTAACAACGACATGAGACAGGACTATCAGATGGCTATACCTTTCTCAACAACGACATGAGACATGACTATCAGATGGCTTTACCTTTCTCAACAACGACATGAGACAGGACTATCAGATGGCTATACCTTTCTTAACAACAGCATGAGACAGGACTATTAGATAGCTATACCTTTCTTAACAACAGCATGAGACAGGACTATCAGATGGCTACACCTTTCTTAACAACAGCATGAGACAGGACTATTATATTGCTATAGCTTTCTCAACAACGACGAGAGACAGGACTATTAGATAGCTATACCTTTCTTAACAACAGCATGAGACAGGACTATCAGATGGCTATACCTTTCTTAACAACAGCATGAGACAGGACTATTATATTGCTATAGCTTTCTCAACAACGGCGAGAGACAGGACTATCAGATGATTATAGCTTTCTCAACAACGGCATGAGACAGGACTATCAGATGATTATAACTTTCTCAACAACGGCATGAGACAGGACTATCAGATGATTATAGCTTTCTCAACAACGACATGAGAAAGGACTGTCAGATGATTATAGCTTTCTCAACAACGACATGAGACAGGACTATCAGATGGCTATACCTTTCTCAACAACGGTATGAGACAAGACTATTAGATGGCTAGCTTTCTCAATAACCGTTTTTCTGTCTGGGTCACTGTGTTTATTGTTCTTACACGATCACAGCTGACAGAATGTGCCAAGGATAGGATATAATCGTTAGTTGGTTGGCTGGCTGGAAGGCGGATTATTTAGTTAGTCGACAGATTGTCCGCACTGTGCACCAACCCATTAGTTAGTTAGTCGACAGATTGTCCGCACTGTATACCAACCTAATAGTTAGTTAGTCGACAGATTGTCCGCACTGTACACCAACCCACTAGTTAGTTAGTCGACAGATTGTCCGCACTGTACACCAACCCATTAGTTAGTTAGTCGACAGATTGTCCGCACTGTACACCAACCCATTAGTTAGTTAGTCGACAGATTGTCCGCACTGTAAACCAACCCATTAGTTAGTTAGTCGACAGATTGTCCGCACTGTACACCAACCCATTAGTTAGTTAGTCGACAGATTGTCCGCACTGTACCCCAACCCATTAGTTAGTTAGTCGACAGATTGTCCGCACTGTACACCAACCCATTAGTTAGTTAGTCGACAGATTGTCCGCACTGTATACCAACCTAATAGTTAGTTAGTCGACAGATTGTCCGCACTGTATACCAAACCATTCAGCCCTTAAATGCTCAGATCCCCTCCTCAGTAAATCCAGCAGCTAGGACATTAAAGTATTATGATGGAATAGGTACATTAGGATTGGAACCTGTCCCATTAACTGAGGGAGGGCAGGGCACCAGCGAGGAGGAAGTGTACCGCTTGACCAGCCAGGCAGCCGCCATAAGGTGACATCATTATCCAGATGTCTCAGCAGAACATACACTGACACAGTACTGACAGATTTATAACATGGTCAAGTTTTAGTCCCAGGTAGCTGTAATCAACGCCTGCGACGTGCGACTGACCTATGGAATGACACGATCAGCACAAGTCAAAACAGACGCGTGCCCCGACTGACGTGTGTACGTGCGTGTTTGCTGACTAATGATCGGCTAGAGGGAAGGGCAAGGACATATTTCATGTAGTCTCCCAGCTGCAGGTCGAGTCTTGGGATACCCTGTCAGTGAACCATCGGTTCAAACACCAAGTATCCTGCATACGTGTGCCTAGATAATTGTCTGCCTTGTGGTGAGTTCAACCCATGTTATACAGCAACTGTCTGCCTTGTAGTGAGATGAACCCATGTTGTACGGCGAGTGTCTGCCTTGTGGTGAGATGAACCCATGTTATACAGCAACTGTCTGCCTTGTAGTAAGACGAACCCATGTTGTACGACAAGTGTCTGCCTTGTGGTGAGATGAACCCATGTTATTCAGCAAGTGTCTGCCTTGTAGTGAGATGAACCCATGTTGGACGGCAAGTGTCTGCCTTGTAGTGAGATGAACCCATGTTGTACGGCAACTGTCTGCCTTGTAGTGAGATGAACCCATGTTGTACGGCAAGTGTCTGCCTTGTGGTGAGATGAACCCATGTTGTACGGCAAGTGTCTCCTTGTAGTGAGATGAACCTATGTTGTACGGCAAGTGTCTGCCTTGTGGTGAGATAAACTCATGTTGTACGGCAATTGTCTGCCTTGTGGTGAGATGAAACCATGTTGTACGGCAAGTGTCTGCCTTGTAGTGAGATGAACCCATGTTATACGACAAGTGTCTGCCTTGTAGTGAGATGAACCCATGTTGTACGGCAAGTGTCTGCCTTGTGGTGAGATGAACCCATTTTGTACAGCAAGTATCTGCCTTCTGGTGAGATAAACCCATGTTGTACGGCAAGTGTCTGCCTTGTGGTGAGATGAACCCAATTTATACGGCAAGTGTCTGCCTTGTGGTGAGTTCAACCCATGTTGTACGGCAAGTGTCTGCCTTGTGGTGAGATGAACCCATGTTTTACGGCAAGTGTCTGCCTTGTGGTGAGATGAACCCATGTTGTACGGCAAGTGTCTGCCTTGTGGTGAGTTCAACCCATGTTGTACGGCAAGTGTCTGCCTTGTGGTGAGATGAAACCATGTTGTACAGCAAGTGTCTGCCTTGTGGTGAGATGAACCCATGTTGTACGGCAAGTGTCTGCCTTGTGGTGAGTTCAACCCATGTTGTACGGCAAGTGTCTGCCTTGTGGTGTGATGAACCCATGTTGTATGGCAAGTGTCTGCCTTGTGGTGAGATGAACCCATGTTGTACGGCAAGTGTCTCCTTGTGGTGAGATGAAACCATGTTGTACAGCAAGTGTCTGCCTTGTGGTGAGATGAAACCATGTTGTACAGCAAGTGTCTGCCTTCTGGTGAGATAAACTCATGTTGTACGGCAATTGTCTGCCTTGTGGTGAGATGAACCTATGTTGTACGGCAAGTGTCTGCCTCGTGGTGAGATGAACCCATGTTTTACGGCAAGTTATACCTTGTGGTGAGATGAACCCATGTTTTACGGCAAGTGTCTGCCTTGTGGTGAACCCATGTTTTACAGCAAGTTATACCTTGCTTGCTTGGGAAAAGCAATGAATAGCAACACTATCTGGCCATACGTGTGGTACAGAACAGCTCAGAGTTCTTAGTTTATCATTAGCTACATGTTAAGTTGCATTAAAGTCGGGCAGTCATGTTTTCTATCGTGTGACAGTTCTCTGTCTCACATGTAGTGTTTCATCTTCATCAACAGCATGTGATCTATGGTGTAACTATTCTCTATCTCCCATGTGTTCTATGGTGTAACTATTCTCTATCTCCCTTGTATTCTATGGTGTAACTATTCTCTATCTCCCTTGTATTCTATGGTGTAACTATTCTCTATCTCCCTTGTATTCTATGGTGTAACTATTCTCTATCTCCCTTGTATTCTATGGTGTAACTATTCTCTATCTCCCATGTATTCTATGGTGTAACTATTCTCTATCTCTCTTGTATTCTATGGTGTAACTATTCTCTATCTCCCATGTATTCTATGGTGTAACTATTCTCTATCTCCCTTGTATTCTATGGTGTAATTATTCTATATCTCTCTTGTATTCTATGGTGTAACTATTCTCTATCTCCCATGTGTTCTATGGTGTAACTATTCTCAATCTCCCATGTGTTCTATGGTGTAACTATTCTCTATCTCCCATGTGTTCTATGGTATAACTATTCTCTATCTCCCATGTGTTCTATGGTATAACTATTCTCTATCTCCCATGTGTTCTATGGTGTAACTATTCTCTATCTCCCATGTGTTCTATGGTATAACTATTCTCTATCTCCCATGTATTCTATGGTATAACTATTCTCTATCTCCCATGTGTTCTATGGTATAACTATTCTCTATCTCCCATGTGTTCTATGGTATAACTATTCTCTATCTCCCATGTGTTCTATGGTGTAACTATTCTCTATCTCCCATGTGTTCTATGGTATAACTATTCTCTATCTCCCATGTGTTCTATGGTGTAACTATTCTCTATCTCCCATGTGTTCTATGGTGTAACTATTCTCTATCTCCCATGTGTTCTATGGTGTAACTATTCTCTATCTCCCATGTGTTCTATGGTGTAACTATTCTCTATCTCCCATGTGTTCTATGGTATAACAATTCTCTATCTCCCATGTGTTCTATGGTATAACTATTCTCTATCTCCCATGTGTTCTATGGTATAACTATTCTCTGTCTCCCATGTGTTCTATGGTGTAACTATTCTCTATCTCCCATGTGTTCTATGGTGTAACTATTCTCTATCTCCCATGTGTTCTATGGTATAACTATTCTCTATCTCCCATGTGTTCTATGGTATAACTATTCTCTATCTCCCATGTGTTCTATGGTTTAACTATTCTCTATCTCCCATGTATTCTATGGTGTAACTATTCTCTATCTCCCTTGTATTCTATGGTGTAATTATTCTATATCTCTCTTGTATTCTATGGTGTAACTATTCTCTATCTCCCATGTGTTCTATGGTGTAACTATTCTCTATCTCCCATGTGTTCTATGGTGTAACTATTCTCTATCTCCCATGTGTTCTATGGTATAACTATTCTCTATCTCCCATGTGTTCTATGGTATAACTATTCTCTATCTCCCATGTGTTCTATGGTATAACTATCTCCAATGTGTTCTATGGTGTAACTATTCTCTATCTCCCATGTGTTCTATGGTATAACTATTCTCTATCTCCCATGTATTCTATGGTATAACTATTCTCTATCTCCAATGTGTTCTATGGTGTAACTATTCTCTATCTCCCATGTGTTCTATGGTATAACTATTCTCTATCTCCCATGTATTCTATGGTACAACTATTCTTTATCTCCCATGTGTTCTATGGTGTAACTATTCTCTATCTCCCATGTGTTCTATGGTGTAACTATTCTCTATCTCCCATGTGTTCTATGGTGTAACTATTCTCTATCTCCCATGTTATCTATGGTGTAACTATTCTCTATCTCACATGTGATCTATGGTGTAACTATTCTCTATCTCCCATGTGTTCTATGGTGTAACTATTCTCTATCTCACATGTGATCTATGGTGTAACTATTCTCTATCTCCCATGTGTTCTATGGTGTAACTATTCTCTATCTCCCAAGTGTTTTATGGTTTAACTATTCTCTATCTCCCTTGTATTCTATGGTGTAACTATTCTCTATCTCCCATGTGTTCTATGGTGTAACTATTCTCTATCTCCCATGTATTATATGGTGTAACTATTCTCTGTCTCCCATGTATTATATGGTGTAACTATTCTCTATCTCCCTTGTATTCTATGGTGTAACTATTCTCTATCTCCAATGTATTCTATGGTGTAACTATTCTCTATCTCCCATGTGTTCTATGGTGTAACTATTCTCTATCTCCCATGTGTTCTATGGTGTAACTATTCTCTATCTCCCAAGTGTTCTATGGTGTAACTATTCTCTATCTCCCTTGTATTCTATGGTGTAACTATTCTCTATCTCCCATGTGTTCTATGGTTTAACTATTCTCTATCTCCCATGTATTATATGGTGTAACTATTCTCTGTCTCCCATGTATTATATGGTGTAACTATTCTCTATCTCCCATGTATTCTATGGTGTAACTATTCTCTATCTCCCATGTATTCTATGGTGTAACTATTCTCTATCTCAAGTGATCTATGGTGTAACTATTCTCTATCTCCCATGTATTATATGGTGTAACTATTCTCTATCTCCCATGTATTATATGGTGTAACTATTCTCTATCTCCCTTGTATTCTATGGTGTAACTATTCTCTACCTTGCTTGTGATCTACGGTGTAACTATTCGCTGCCTCCCATGTGATCTTCAGTATAACTATTCTCTACCTCCCATGTGATCTATGGAGTAACATTTTCTACCCCCTGTGTGATCTACAATGTCACAATTCTCTACCTCCCATATGATCTATAGAGTAACATTTTCTACATCCCATGTGATCTACAGTGTAACTATTCTCTGCCTCCTGTGTGATCTACAGTGTAACTATTCTCTGCCTCAGATGTGATATACAGTGTAACCATTCTCTGCCTCCCATGTGATCTACAGTGTAACTATTCTCTGCCTCCTATGTGATATACAGTGTAACTATTTTCTGCCTGCTATGTGATCTACAGTGTAACTATTCTCTGCCTCCTGTCTGATCTACAGTGTAAATATTCTCATCCTCCTATGTGATCTACAGTGTGACTATTCTCTACCTCGCATGTGATCTATGGTGTAACTATTCTCTACCTCCCGTGTGATCTTTGGTGTAACATTTCTCTGCCCCCTATGTGATCTTTGGTGTAACTATTCTCTACCTCCTGTCTGATCTACAGTGTAACTTTTGTCTACCGTCTGTGTGATCTATGGTGTAACTATTTTCTGCCTCTCATGCGATCTACGGTGTAACTATTCTCTATCTACCATGTGATCTACAGTGTAACTATTCTCTATCTCCAGTGATCTATGATGTAACTATTCTCTATCTCCCATGTGATCTATGGTGTAACTATTCTCTAACTCCCCAGTGATCTATGGTGTAACTATTCTCTGCCTCCCATGTGACATATGGTGTAACTATTCTCTGCCTCCCATGTGATTTACGGTATAACTTTTCTCTACCTCTCATGTGATCTATGGAGTAACATTTTCTACCTCCCATGTGATCTACAGTGTAACTATTTTCTGCCTCCCATGTAATCTTCAGTGTTACTATTCTCTGCCTCCTATGTGATCTACAGTGTAACTATTCTCTGACTCCTGAGCAGAGAGAAATCACATGTCTGAGCAAAGAGAATTCACATGTCTGAGCAGAGAGAACTCACATGTCTGAGCAGAGAGAAATCACATGTCTGAGCAGAGAGAAATCACATGTCTCAGCACACAAAAATCACATGTCTGAGCAGAGAGAAATCACATGTCTCAGCAGAGAGAAATCACATGTCTCAGCAGAGAGAAATCACATGTCTGAGCAGAGAGAAATCACATGTCTCAGCACACAAAAATCACACGTCTGAGCAGAGAGAAATCACATGTCTCAGCAGAGAGAAATCACATGTCTCAGCACACAAAAATCACATGTCTGAGCAGAGAGAAATCACATGTCTCAGCAGAGAGAAATCACACGTCTGAGCAGAGAGAAATCACATGTCTGAGCAGAGAGAAATCACATGTCTCAGCACACAAAAATCACATGTCTGAGCAGAGAAAAATCACATGTCTCAGCAGAGAGAAATCACATGTCTCAGCAGAGAGAAATCACATGTCTGAGCAGAGAGAAATCACATGTCTGAGCAGAGAGAAATCACATGTCTCAGCAGAGAGAAATCACATGTCTCAGCACACAAAAATCACATGTCTGAGCAGAAAGAAATCACATGTCTCAGCAAAGAGAAATCACATGTCTGATTAGCTGAATCTCAGAAACATGTGACCACCAGCAATGAACACTAGCCAGAAAATGCTGTGAATGGCAAGGGTGGTTACTCAACGATATTAGATACAACTGTTTTGGATGTGAAGTCTCCTAGGTGAGTTGGAGCAGCCCATTATACAGATCAGGCGTTCTGGACAAATATACAGATATATAAGTCATTCTGGGACATACACGGAATGTTCGGACACCATAGAATGTTGGGACATATACACAGTGTTGGATATATATATGTATATATAGTTTTAGGACACAGAGTGTTGAGACATATATAGAGTGTTAGGACATATAGAGAGTGTTGAAACATATAGAGAGTGTTGAGACATATATAGAGTGTTGAGACATATAGAGAGTGTTAGGACATATAGAGAGTGTTAGGACATATAGTGTTGAGACATATATAGAGTGTTAAGACATATAGAGAGTGTTGAGACATATATAGAGTGTTGAGACATATAGAGAGTGTTGAGACATATATAGAGTGTTGAGACATATATAGAGTGTTGAGATATATATAGAGTGTTAGGACATATAGAGAGTGTTGAGACATATATAGAGTGCTAGGACATATAGAGAGTGTTGAGACATATATAGAGTGTTAGGACATATAGAGAGTGTTGAGACATATAGAGAGTGTTGAGACATATATAGAGTGTTGAGACATATATAGAGTGTTAGGACATATAGAGTGTTGAGACATATATAGAGTGTTAGGACATATAGAGAGTGTTGAGACATATATAGAGTGTTGAGACATATATAGAGTGTTAGGACATATAGAGAGTGTTGAGACATATAGAGAGTGTTGAGACATATAGAGAGTGTTGAGACATATATAGAGTGTTAGGACATATAGAGAGAGTGTTGAGACATATATAGAGTGTTAGGACATATAGAGAGTGTTGAGACATATATAGAGTGTTAGGACATATAGAGAGTGTTGAGACATATATAGAGTGTTGAGACATATAGAGAGTGTTGAGACATATATAGAGTGTTGAGACATATACAGAGTCTTGAGACATATATAGAGTGTTGAGACATATAGAGAGTGTTGAGACATATAGAGAGTGTTGAGACATATATAGAGTGTTGAGACATATATAGAGTGTTGAGACATATATAGAGTGTTGAGACATATAGAGAGTGTCGAGACATATATAGAGTGTTGAGACATATATAGAGTGTTAGGACATATATAGAGTGTTGAGACATACAGAATGTTTAGACGAACATAGTTTGCTGAGACATAGAGAATGTTGAGACATATTTGGAATGTTAGGGTGTATATAGTGTTGAGATTTGTATAGAGTGTAGGGAGATAAATAGAATTTTAGGGAGATATACAGAATGTTGAGGCATATATAGAGTGTTGTGGTGTAGTGTTGAGATATGTCTAGAGTGCTGGGACATATACAGATTTCTGAGACATATACAGAGTGTTAAGATATTGGTAGAGTGTATGGAGAGCCAAGAGATGATCAAATCAAAGTGTTAAGATATTGGTAGAGTGTATGGAGAGCCAAGAGATGATCACATCAAGGTGTTAAGATATTGGTAGAGTGTATGGAGAGCCAAGAGATGATCACATCAAAGTGTTAAGATATTGGTAGAGTGTATGAAGAGCCAAGAGATGATCACATCAAAGTGTTAAGATATTGGTAGAGTGTATGGAGAGCCAAGAGATGATCACATCAAAGTGTTAAGATATTGGTAGAGTGTATGGAGAGCCAAGAGATGATCACATCAAGGTGTTATGATATTGGTAGAGTGTATGGAGAGCCAAGAGATGATCACATCAAAGTGTTAAGATTTTGGTAGAGTGTATGGAGAGCCAAGAGATGATCACATCAAAGTGTTAAGATATTGGTAGAGTCTATGAAGAGCCAAGAGATGATCACATCAAAGTGTTAAGATATTGGTAGAGTGTATGAAGAGCCAAGAGATGATCACATCAAAGTGTTAAGATATTGATAGAGTGTATGGAGAGCCAAGAGATGATCACATCAAAGTGTTAAGATATTGGTAGAGTGTATGGAGAGCCAAGAGATGATCACATCAAAGTGTTAAGATATTGGTAGAGTGTATGGAGAGCCAAGAGATGATCACATCAAAGTGTTAGGATATTGGTAGAGTGTATGGAGAGCCAAGAGATGATCACATCAATCAAGCATCTCCAAGGAACACTCAGAGTGGGCCCTATAACTGATCCATGCAAGTCCCTCTTCAGGAAGTAAGTTCTGGGTGGAGATGTAACTTAATGGACAGATGACTGACACAGATGACTGACACAGATGACTGACACAGATGACTGACACAGATGACTGACACAGATGACTCACACAGATGACTGACACAGATGACTGACACAAATGACTCACACAGATGACTCACACAGATGACTCACACAGATGACTCACACAGATGACTCACACAGATGACTGACAACATAACACAAGATTCAAATCAATGACTAGCCATGTGAACATAAATACAAGTCTCACTGGGGCCCAGTCTCCTTGATCCAGTAGGAAAGTGTCTGCATCATTGCCCAGTCTCCTTGATCCAGTAGGAAAGTGTCTGCATCATTGCCCAGTCTCATTGATCCAGTAGGAAAGTGTCTGCATCATTGCCCAGTCTCCTTGATCCAGTAGGAAAGTGTCTGCATCATTGCCCAGTCTCCTTGATCCAGTAGGAAAGTGTCTGCATCATTGCCCAGTCTCCTTGATCCAGTAGGAAAGTGTCTGCATCATTGCCCATTCTCCTTGATCCAGTAGGAAAGTGTCTGCATCATTGCCCAGTCTCCTTGATCCAGTAGGAAAGTGTCTGCATCATTGCCCAGTCTCCTTGATCCAGTAGGAAAGTGTCTGCATCATTGCCCAGTCTCCTTGATCCAGTAGGAAAGTGTCTGCATCATTGCCCAGTCTCCTTGATCCAGTAGGAAAGTGTCTGCATCATTGCCCATTCTCCTTGATCCAGTAGGAAAGTGTCTGCATCATTGCCCAGTCTCCTTGATCCTGTAGGAAAGTGTCTGCATCATTGCCCAGTCTCCTTGATCCAGTAGGAAAGTGTCTGCATCATTGCCCAGTCTCCTTGATCCAGAAATGCTAATGTCCAGGATTTCTGCAACGTCCAGGATATAGGCTAGTGCTGATCAACTCCTGTCTAGTCTGTCATGACACCAGCTACCACTAATGTTCTGACCCACGCACTGACCTTTCATGCAGCCTTCGTATTTCAGTATCTGATCCATGGTTTTGTTTGTTCTGACCCACGCACTGACCTCTCATGCAGCCTTCGTATTTCAGTATCTGATCCATGGTTTTGTTTGTTCTGACCCACGCACTGACCTCTCATGCAGCCTTCCTATTTCAGTATCTGATCCATGGTTTTGTTTGTTCTGACCCACGCACTGACCTCTCATGCAGCCTTCGTATTTCAGTATCTGATCCATGGTTTTGTTTGTTCTGACCCACGCACTGACCTTTCATGCAGCCTTCGTATTTCAGTATCTGATCCATGGTTTTGTTTGTTCTGACCCAAGCACTGACCTCTCATGCAGCCTTCGTATTTCAGTATCTGATCCATGGTTTTGTTTGTTCTGACCCACGCACTGACCTCTCATGCAGCCTTCCTATTTCAGTATCTGATCCATGGTTTTGTTTGTTCTGACCCACACACTGACCTCTCATGCAGCCTTCGTATTTCAGTATCTGATCCATGGTTTTGTTTGTTCGGACCCACGCACTGACCTCTCATGCAGCCTTCGTATTTCAGTATCTGATCCATGGTTTTGTTTGTTCTGACCCACGCACTGACCTCTCATGCAGCCTTCGTATTTCAGTATCTGATCCATGGTTTTGTTTGTTCTGACCCACGCACTGACCTCTCATGCAGCCTTCGTATTTCAGTATCTGATCCATGGTTTTGTTTGTTCTGACCCACGCACTGACCTCTCATGCAGCCTTCGTATTTCAGTATCTGATCCATGGTTTTGTTTGTTCTGACCCACGCACTGACCTCTCATGCAGCCTTCCTATTTCAGTATCTGATCCATGGTTTTGTTTGTTCTGACCCACGCACTGACCTCTCATGCAGCCTTCCTATTTCAGTATCTGATCCATGGTTTTGTTTGTTCTGACCCACGCACTGACCTCTTATGCAGCCTTCCTATTTCAGTATCTGATCCATGGTTTTGTTTGTTCTGACCCACGCACTGACCTCTCATGCAGCCTTCGTATTTCAGTATCTGATCCATGGTTTTGTTTGTTCTGACCCACGCACTGACCTCTCATGCAGCCTTCGTATTTCAGTATCTGATCCATGGTTTTGTTTGTTCTGACCCACGCACTGACCTCTCATGCAGCCTTCGTATTTCAGTATCTGATCCATGGTTTTGTTTGTTCTGACCCACGCACTGACCTCTCATGCAGCCTTTGTATTTCAGTATCTGATCCATGGTTTTGTTTGTTCTGTCCCACGCACTGACCTCTCATGCAGCCTTCCTATTTCAGTATCTGATCCATGGTTTTGTTTGTTCGGACCCACGCACTGACCTCTCATGCAGCCTTCGTATTTCAGTATCTGATCCATGGTTTTGTTTGTTCGGACCCACGCACTGACCTCTCATGCAGCCTTCGTATTTCAGTATCTGATCCATGGTTTTGTTTGTTCTGACCCACGCACTGACCTCTCATGCAGCCTTCGTATTTCAGTATCTGATCCATGGTTTTGTTTGTTCTGACCCAAGCACTGACCTCTCATGCAGCCTTCGTATTTCAGTATCTGATCCATGGTTTTGTTTGTTCTGACCCACGCACTGACCTCTCATGCAGCCTTCCTATTTCAGTATCTGATCCATGGTTTTGTTTGTTCTGACCCACACACTGACCTCTCATGCAGCCTTCGTATTTCAGTATCTGATCCATGGTTTTGTTTGTTCGGACCCACGCACTGACCTCTCATGCAGCCTTCGTATTTCAGTATCTGATCCATGGTTTTGTTTGTTCTGACCCACGCACTGACCTCTCATGCAGCCTTCGTATTTCAGTATCTGATCCATGGTTTTGTTTGTTCTGACCCACGCACTGACCTCTCATGCAGCCTTCGTATTTCAGTATCTGATCCATGGTTTTGTTTGTTCTGACCCACGCACTGACCTCTCATGCAGCCTTCCTATTTCAGTATCTGATCCATGGTTTTGTTTGTTCTGACCCACGCACTGACCTCTCATGCAGCCTTCCTATTTCAGTATCTGATCCATGGTTTTGTTTGTTCTGACCCACGCACTGACCTCTCATGCAGCCTTCCTATTTCAGTATCTGATCCATGGTTTTGTTTGTTCTGACCCACGCACTGACCTCTCATGCAGCCTTCCTATTTCAGTATCTCATCCATGGTTTTGTTTGTTCTGACCCACGCACTGACCTCTCATGCAGCCTTCGTATTTCAGTATCTGATCCATGGTTTTGTTTGTTCTGACCCACGCACTGACCTCTCATGCAGCCTTCGTATTTCAGTATCTGATCCATGGTTTTGTTTGTTCTGACCCACGCACTGACCTCTCATGCAGCCTTCGTATTTCAGTATCTGATCCATGGTTTTGTTTGTTCTGACCCACGCACTGACCTCTCATGCAGCCTTCGTATTTCAGTATCTGATCCATGGTTTTGTTTGTTCTGTCCCACGCACTGACCTCTCATGCAGCCTTCCTATTTCAGTATCTGATCCATGGTTTTGTTTGTTCGGACCCACGCACTGACCTCTCATGCAGCCTTCGTATTTCAGTATCTGATCCATGGTTTTGTTTGTTCGGACCCACGCACTGACCTCTCATGCAGCCTTCGTATTTCAGTATCTGATCCATGGTTTTGTTTGTTCTGACCCACGCACTGACCTCTCATGCAGCCTTCGTATTTCAGTATCTGATCCATGGTTTTGTTTGTTCTGACCCACGCACTGACCTCTCATGCAGCCTTCGTATTTCAGTATCTGATCCATGGTTTTGTTTGTTCTGACCCACGCACTGACCTCTCATGCAGCCTTCCTATTTCAGTATCTGATCCATGGTTTTGTTTGTTCTGACCCACGCACTGACCTCTCATGCAGCCTTCGTATTTCAGAATCTGATCCATGGTTTTGTTTGTTCTGACCCACGCACTGACCTCTCATGCAGCCTTCCTATTTCAGTATCTGATCCATGGTTTTGTTTGTTCTGACCCACGCACTGACCTCTCATGCAGCCTTCCTATTTCAGTATCTGATCCATGGTTTTGTTTGTTCTGACCCACGCACTGACCTCTCATGCAGCCTTCCTATTTCAGTATCTGATCCATGGTTTTGTTTGTTCTGACCCACGCACTGACCTCTCATGCAGCCTTCGTATTTCAGTATCTGATCCATGGTTTTGTTTGTTCTGACCCACGCACTGACCTCTCATGCAGCCTTCGTATTTCAGTATCTGATCCATGGTTTTGTTTGTTCTGACCCACGCACTGACCTCTCATGCAGCCTTCCTATTTCAGTATCTGATCCATGGTTTTGTTTGTTCTGACCCACGCACTGACCTCTCATGCAGCCTTCCTATTTCAGTATCTGATCCATGGTTTTGTTTGTTCTGACCCACGCACTGACCTCTTATGCAGCCTTCCTATTTCAGTATCTGATCCATGGTTTTGTTTGTTCTGACCCACGCACTGACCTCTCATGCAGCCTTCGTATTTCAGTATCTGATCCATGGTTTTGTTTGTTCTGTCCCACGCACTGACCTCTCATGCAGCCTTCCTATTTCAGTATCTGATCCATGGTTTTGTTTGTTCGGACCCACGCACTGACCTCTCATGCAGCCTTCGTATTTCAGTATCTGATCCATGGTTTTGTTTGTTCGGACCCACGCACTGACCTCTCATGCAGCCTTCGTATTTCAGTATCTGATCCATGGTTTTGTTTGTTCTGACCCACGCACTGACCTCTCATGCAGCCTTCGTATTTCAGTATCTGATCCATGGTTTTGTTTGTTCTGACCCACGCACTGACCTCTCATGCAGCCTTCGTATTTCAGTATCTGATCCATGGTTTTGTTTGTTCTGACCCACGCACTGACCTCTCATGCAGCCTTCGTATTTCAGTATCTGATCCATGGTTTTGTTTGTTCTGACCCACGCACTGACCTCTCATGCAGCCTTCGTATTTCAGTATCTGATCCATGGTTTTGTTTGTTCTGACCCACGCACTGACCTCTCATGCAGCCTTCGTATTTCAGTATCTGATCCATGGTTTTGTTTGTTCTGTCCCACGCACTGACCTCTCATGCAGCCTTCCTATTTCAGTATCTGATCCATGGTTTTGTTTGTTCTGACCCACGCACTGACCTCTCATGCAGCCTTCGTATTTCAGTATCTGATCCATGGTTTTTTTGTTTGTTCTGACCCACGCACTGACCTCTCATGCAGCCTTCGTATTTCAGTATCTGATCCATGGTTTTGTTTGTTCTGACCCACGCACTGACCTCTCATGCAGCCTTCGTATTTCAGTATCTGATCCATGGTTTTGTTTGTTCTGACCCACGCACTGACCTCTCATGCAGCCTTCGTATTTCAGTATCTGATCCATGGTTTTGTTTGTTCTGACCCACACACTGACCTCTCATGCAGCCTTCGTATTTCAGTATCTGATCCATGGTTTTGTTTGTTCTGACCCATGCACTGACCTCTCATGCAGCCTTCCTATTTCAGTATCTGATCCATGGTTTTGTTTGTTCTGACCCACGCACTGACCTCTCATGCAGCCTTCGTATTTCAGTATCTGATCCATGGTTTTGTTTGTTCTGACCCACGCACTGACCTCTCATGCAGCCTTCCTATTTCAGTATCTGATCCATGGTTTTGTTTGTTCTGACCCACGCACTGACCTCTCATGCAGCCTTCGTATTTCAGTATCTGATCCATGGTTTTGTTTATGAGGGAGTTTTCTTCCATGTTCATATTTTCAAGAATATCAAAATCGTTTGTTTCTTTCTGGACCCAATTATTCCAAGAATGTTCATCTCTTCTATTATAGATCAAAAGCAGATGATGATGATGATGATGATGATGATGATGATGACGATGCAGATTTGATGGCACTGATTTAGCTGAATGGCTTTTGCAATGATAGTTCTGTTCCTTCTATGAGAAGGCGATCTGATCTCACAGACAGACCTAGTGGCACAGATTCCACTGACTGTATCTGCCATGTGATGTTGTTTAGTTGTCACGTCTATCACCTTCCATAAACAAGCTGCTTCACTAATCTGGGTCCAGATGAGAAGGAGATGAGGAGATGATGAGATGTTAGAACTACATCACATTATCTCCTTGTCTCCCAGTATTTCAATCACATATTCTATTATTCCAATATTCTGCCAAAATGTTAACTACACATTCTAATATTCCCGTATTCTACCACTATTTTAACTACACATTCTATTATTCCAATATTCTGCCACTGTTTCAACCACACATTCTATTATTCCAAAATGCTGCTATTATTTTAACTACACATTTTATTATTCCAATATTCTGTCCCTATTTCAACAACACATTCAATTATTTTAATATTCTGCCCCTATTTCAACCACACATTCAATTATTCCAATATCCTGCCACTATTTCAACCATACACACTGTGATTTCACTATTCTGCCATATATCAGCCACCCATTCTGTCACTTTCAACTCACCTGAGGTCTGAAATGACACCTCCACTAACTTCTCTTTCAGGCGTTCAGCCTCTTCCAAAGATCTATGTTGCTCCTCTGCTTCCTTTTGTAACCTCTGAACCTCTTGGGCAAGCTCCTCTCTGCACTTCTCTTCTGCCTTTCGTAAGTCTTCTAACTCAAGGACCTGTTTGTGGAGTGCTGATATTGTCTGGGCATGTTTACTCTCAACACAGGAGTTCAGCTGTGCAGATAACCACACAAACAGTCACAGAGATTAATTTCATCAACACAAGTCTGCAAACTTTGTTAATCAACTCTAAATGTCTAAAGAAACTTTTAAGTAAACAGATGAATCATCCCCAGGGACAATATATAATAAACTAAATCTTCCAAAAATAATTTAATCATCTCAATAGGATTTTACAACCAATCAATTCATCTACATATTATATAATCAACCTAATCCTCTCAAAAAAAATTAAATAACCAATCAGTTGTCCCCTGTCATAGATCACACAGGGTCACTTCTGTATAGTCTTGTCCCCTGCCATAGATCCCACAGGGTCATTTCTGTATAGTCTTATCTCCTGCCATAGATCATACAGGGTCACTTCTGTATAGTCTTGTCTCCTGTCATAGATCACATAGGGTTACTTCTTTATAGTCTTGTCTCCTGTCATAAATTCCACAGAGTCACTTCTGTATAGCCTTGTCTCATGCCATAGATCACATAGGGTCACATCTGTATAGTCTTGTCCCCTGCCATAGATCACATAAGGACACTTCTGTATAGTCTTGTCTCCTGCCATAGATCACATAGGGACACTTCTGTATAGTCTTGTCTCCTGCCATAGATCACATAGGGACACTTCTGTATAGTCTTGTCTCCTGTCATAGATCACATAGGGTCACTTCTGTATAGTCTTGTCTCCTGCCATAGATCCCACAGGGTCACTTCTGTATAGTCTTGTCTCCCGTCATAGATCACATAGGGTCACTTCTTTATAGTCTTGTCTCCTGCCATAGATCACATAGGGACACTTATGTATAGTCTTGTCTCGTGCCATAGATCAGACAGGGTCACTTTTGTATAGTTTTGTCGCCTGCCATAGATCACACAGGGTCACTTCTGTATAGTCTTGTCTCCTGTCATAGATCACACAGGGTCACTTCTGTATAGTCTTGCCTCCTTCCATAGATCACATAGGGTCACTTCTGTATAGTCTTGTCTCCTGTCATAGATCCCACAGGGGCACTTCTGTATAGTCTTGTCTCCTGCCATAGATCCCACAGGGACACTTCTGTATAGTCTTGTCTCCTGCCATAAATCCCACAGGGACACTTCTGTATAGTCTTGTCTCCTGCCATTAAAAACACAGTGATACTTCAGTTCAGTCATGTACCCTACCATAGATCACACAGGGATACTTCTTCACTTGCTTGTCATCTCAAAGATCACACAGGGACACTTCTTCCCTTGCTTGTCATCTCAAAGATCACACAGGGACACTTCTTCACATGCTTGTCATCTCAAAGATCACACAGGGACACTTCTTTACTTGCTTGTCATCTCAAAGATCACACAGGGACACTTCTTTACTTGCTTGTCATCTCAAAGATCACACAGGGACACTTCTTCACTTGCTTGTCATCTCAAAGATCACACAGGGACACTTTTTTACATGCTTGTCATCTCAAAGATCACACAGGGATACTTCTTTACATGCTTGTCATCTCAAAGATCACACAGGGACACTTCTTTACATGCTTGTCATCTCAAAGATCACACAGGGACACTTCTTCACTTGCTTGTCATTTCAAAGATCACACAGGGACACTTCTTTACTTGTTTGTTTTCTCAAAGATCACACAGGGACACTTCTTCACTTGCTTGTCATCTCAAAGATCACACAGGGACACTTCTTCACTTGCTTGTCATCTCAAAGATCACACAGAGACACTTTGTATAGTCTTGGCTCACACCAGAAGAATGTCAGCTCAGCGCAGGAACTCAGGATTCCAATACGCCTACACCAGTATCAAAGAAGCTATCAAAACTGATTTGTGGTTAGCTTGTTTCATTTGTAAACTGTGTGCAGATGTTAAAAAAAAACAAAAATTTCATCCATTGGACTTTTTACAAAAACTGCTTCCCATGTGCAATCAATGTGATCCATATCCAATGCTAAACCAACATCAAACAAACAAGACAAATGTGGCAACATGACAACAAACAGCTCAGGAGCTGACTGACCTGCTGCAGCTGCTCCAACTGTGCCTGTTTGTCCTGTAGCTGCTGTAGTGCAGTCTTCCTCTCACTGTCAAACTGATTAGCATTCTCTGCTGATTCTTGAAGATCCTGTCACCAAGAAGACAATTCTGGTCACTGTATACCTTCTTCAGGTCAACAATTTGACCACAAGTCAGTTTCCTAATGGCTGGGTTACACATTTTCAAAGCAGACAGTCTAACTGGTGCCCTCTTTATGTGAGAGTAACTACACTGGCAGAAAGTTATGGGATCATTTCCATGAGCATCAATAATAAGGACGTTTGTAAACCTGTCTCTATTTTCTCATCACACCACAATGTGTGGTGTGGCTGGGTTCCTACAGTCAGCTGGATCCATGTCTCGAGCTGTTGTACAGTCAGTCCGACTGATCCGTAACTGTGTTACCTGTCAGAGTTACATCCTCATTTCTCCAACAAATCATATCATATAATTACATAGCTTAACTTAGACAAGAGATCATGATTACATACCTTAACTTAGACAAAAGATCATGAGTACATACCTTAACTTAGACAAAAGATCATGATTACATACCTTAACTTAGACAAAAGATCATGAGTACATACCTTAACTTAGACAAGAGATCATGATTACATACCTTAACTTAGACAAGATAACTCATGATGAGTACATAGCCTAACTTAGATAACTCATGATGAAAACATAACCTAACTAAGATAAATCATGATGAGTACATAGCCTAACTTAGATAACTCATGATGAGAACATAGCCTAACTTAGATAACTCATGATGAGAACATAGCCTAACTTAGATAACTCATGATGAGGACATAGCCTAACTTAGATAACTCATGATGAGAACATAGCCTAACTTAGATAACTCATGATGAGAACATAGCCTAACTTAGATAACTCATGATGAGAACATAGCCTAACTTAGATAACTCATGATGAGAACATAGCCTAACTTAGATAACTCATGATGAGAACATAGCCTAACTTAGATAACTCATGATGAGAACATAGCCTAACTTAGATAACTCATGAAGAGAACATAGCCTAACTTAGATAACTCATGATGAGAACATAGCCTAACTTAGATAACTCATGATGAGGACATAGCCTAACTTAGATAACTCATGATGAGTACATAGCCTAACTTAGATAACTCATGATGAGAACATAGCCTAACTTAGATAACTCATGAAGAGAACATAGCCTAACTTAGATAACTCATGATGAGAACATAGCCTAACTTAGATAACTCATGATGAAAACATAACCTAACTAAGATAAATCATGATGAGTACATAGCCTAACTTAGATAACTCATGATGAGAACATAGCCTAACTTAGATAACTCATGAAGAGAACATAACCTAACTTAGATAACTCATGATGAGAACATAACCTAACTTAGGTAACTCATGATGAGGACATAGCCTAACTTAGATAACTCATGATGAGAACATAGCCTAACTTAGATAACTCATGATGAGAAAATAGCCTAACTTAGATAACTCATGATGAGAACATAGCCTAACTTAGATAACTCATGATGAGAACATAGCCTAACTTAGATAACTCATGAAGAGAACATAACCTAACTTAGATAACTCATGATAAGAACATAACCTAACTTAGGTAACTCATGATGAGGACATAGCCTAACTTAGATAACTCATGATGAGAACATAGCCTAACTTAGATAACTCATGAAGAGAACATAACCTAACTTAGATAACTCATGAAGAGAACATAACCTAACTTAGATAACTCATGATGACAACATAACCTAACTTAGATAACTCATGATGAGAACATAGCCTAACTTAGATAACTCATGAAGAGAACATAACCTAACTTAGATAACTCATGAAGAGAACATAGCCTAACTTAGATAACTCATGATGAGAACATAGCCTAACTTAGATAACTCATAATGAGAACATAGCCTAACTTAGATAACACATGATGAGAACATAGCCTAACTTAGATAACTCATAATGAGAACATAGCCTAACTTAGATAACTCATGATGAGAACATACCTTAACTTAGATAACTCATGATGAGAAAATAGCCTAACTTAGATAACTCACAATAAAAACATAGCCTAACTTGATAACTGATGATGAGAACATAGCCTAACTTGATAACTCATGATGAGAACATGGCCTAATTTGATAACTAATGATGAGAACATACCTTAACTTAGATAACTCATGATGAGAAAATAGCCTAACTTAGATAACTCATGATGAGAACATACCTTAACTTAGATAACTCATGATGAGAAAATAGCCTAACTTAGATAACTCATGATGAGAAAATAGCCTAACTTAGATAACTCATGATGAGAACATACCTTAACTTAGATAACTCATGATGAGAAAATAGCCTAACTTAGATAACTCATGGTGAGAAAATAGCCTAAACCTGGATAAGAGATGATGAGTACACTCTACTTACCTGGACAACAGATGATGAGAATATAGCCTAACCTGAACAAGAGATGATGAAAAATACAAAGCCTAACTCTGACAACTCATGATGATAACATATCCTAACCTAGTTAACATGATGAGAACATAGCCTAACTTAGATAACTCATGATAAGAGCAAAACTAACATAGATAAAAGATGATGAGCACATAGTCTAACCTGGACAAGATGTTAAAATGAGTAAATAGTCTAACCTGGACAAGATGAGTACATAGTCTAACCTGGACAAGATGTAATAATGAGTACATAGTCTAACCTGGACAAGATGTAATAATGAGTACATAGCCTAACCTGGACAAGATGTAATAATGAGTTTATAGTCTAACCTGGACAAGATGTAATGATGATTACATAGTCTAACCTGGACAAGATGAGTACATAGTCTAACCTGGACAAGATGTAACAATGAGTACATAGTCTAACCTGGACAAGATGTAATAATGAGTACATAGTCTAACCTGGACAAGATGTAATGATGAGTACATAGTCTAACCTGGACAAGATGAGTACATAGTCTAACCTGGACAAGATGTAATGATGAGTACATAGTCTAACCTGGACAAGATGAGTACATAGTCTAACCTGGACAAGATGAGTACATAGTCTAACCTGGACAAGATGAGTACATAGTCTAACTTGGACAAGATGTAATGAAGAGTATGTAACCTAGAAAATATGTCATGATGAGTACATAGTCACACCTGGACAAGATGTAATGATGAGTACACAGTTTAACCTGGACAAGATGTAATAATGAGTACATAGTCTAACCTGGACAAGATGTGATGATGAGTACATAGTCTTACCTGGACAAGATGTCATGATGAATACATAGTCTAACCTGGACAAGATGTAATGACGAGTACATAGTCTAACCTGGACAAGATGTCACGATAAGTACATAGTCTAACCTAGACAAGATGTCATGATGAGTACATAGCCTAACCTGGACAAGATGTCACGATGAGTACATAGTCTAACCTGGACAAGATGTCACGATGAGTACACAGTAAACCTGGACAAGATGTCATGATGAGTACACAGTCTAACCTGGACAAGATGTCACAATGAGTACAGTAAACCTGGACAAGATGTCATGATGAGTACATAGTCTAACCTGGACAAGATGTCATGATGAGTACATGGTCTAACCTGGACAAGATGTCATGATGAGTACATACTCTAACCTGGACAAGATGTAATGATGAGTACATAGTCTAACCTGGACAAGATGTCATGATGAGTACATAGTCTAACCTGGACAAGAGGTAATGATGAGTACATACTCTAACTTGGACAAGATGTAATGATGAGTACATAGTCTAACCTGGACAAGATGTCATGATGAGACAACAGATGATGAGAATATAGCCTAACCTGGACAAAAGATGATTAGTACATTACCTAACTTAGACAACAGATGGTGAAAAAATAACATAACCTGGACAAGAGATGATAAGTATATAACTTAACTTACACAAATGATAATGAAAACATAACCCAATTTTGACAACAGATCATGTCTACTCACCCTAACTACGTTCTCAAGACTATGGACTCGAAGATTGAGGAGTTTCACTTCTTCCTCTGCTGCCTCTCTTTCTTTCTGGACGCTTGCCAAGGAAAGCTTGAGGGTGTTACATTCCTCTGTGATCTGACAGAAAGAAAGAAGGTTTTCCATGTTATAGACAATATAAATAGAAATCTTTAGACAAAAATGTCCAACATTCTCTACCTCTTGATGTGGCTGCATGATCTGTCACACAGCTGTTGGTGTGGCTGTATGCTCTTTCACACAGCTGTAGGTGTGGCTGTAGGCTCTGTCACACAGTTGTTGGTGTGGCTGTAGGCTCTGCGAGACAGCTGTTTGTGAAACTGTTTATATGATATCGTCACCTTCATCAACGTGTGTCTGTCTCCACTACCTCATCACCACCCCCGAGTGGTTTCTTTGATGCAGAGTTTCATTTGTCTCTTGTTTTTCAAACTGCTTTCACCAGTTCTCTCTTGCCTCCCATTATCTCCACAACCTCAATATTTTAATGTTTGTCTCCATGAAATACAGTATATTATTCTGTAAATCTTTATTCTAAGAGCCCCAGTTTGACTGTTTGTCTCCATGAAATACAGTATATTCTTCTTGTATATGTTTATTTTAAGAGCCCCAGTTTGACTATTTCAGATATGAACATCACAATGAAAGTCTGACTACACTGCGGTGGGTGAAACGTTGCTACGACAACACAAGCAAACCAGCAGTGCCGCTAATAAAAGGAAGGATCCATGAACAGATGAGAGATGACGGACAACACCTGCAGGTCTCACGTTATGACTGGAGACCGCCATCCTTGCATGAATCATGAGAGATGACGGACAACACCTGCAGATCTCACGTTATGACTGGAGACCGCCATCCTTGCATGAATCATGAGAGATGACAGACAACACCTGCAGATCTCACGTCATGACTGGAGACCGCCATCCTTGCATGAATCATGAGAGATGACGGACAACACCTGCAGATCTCACGTCATGACTGGAGACCGCCATCCTTGCATGAATCATGAGAGATGACGGACAACACCTGCAGGTCTCACGTCATGACTGGAGACCGCCATCCTTGCATGAATCATGAGAGATGACGGACAACACCTGCAGATCTCACGTTATGACTGGAGACCGCCATCCTTGCATGAATCATGAGAGATGACGGACAACACCTGCAGATCTCAGGTTATGACTGGAGACCGCCATCCTTGCATGAATCATGAGAGATGACGGACAACACCTGCAGATCTCACGTTATGACTGGAGACCGCCATCCTTGCATGAATCATGAGAGATGACGGACAACACCTGCAGATCTCACGTTATGACTGGAGACCGCCATCCTTGCATGAATCATGAGAGATGACGGACAACACCTGCAGGTCTTACGTCATGACTGGAGACCGCCATCCTTGCATGAATCATGAGAGATGACGGACAACACCTGCAGATCTCACGTTATGACTGGAGACCGCCATCCTTGCATGAATCATGAGAGATGACGGACAACACCTGCAGGTCTCACGTTATGACTGGAGACCGCCATCCTTGCATGAATCATGAGAGATGACGGACAACACCTGCAGATCTCACGTTATGACTGGAGACCGCCATCCTTGCATGAATCATGAGAGATGACGGACAACACCTGCAGGTCTCACGTTATGACTGGAGACCGCCATCCTTGCATGAATTATGAGAGATGACGGACAGCACCTGCAGATCTCACGTTATGACTGGAGACCGCCATCCTTGCATGAATCATGAGAGATAACGGACAACACCTGCAGGTCTCACGTTATGACTGGAGACCGCCATCCTTGCATGAATCATGAGAGATGACGGACAACACCTGCAGATCTCACGTTATGACTGGAGACCGCCATCCTTGCATGAATCATGAGAGATGACAGACAACACCTGCAGATCTCACGTCATGACTGGAGACCGCCATCCTTGCATGAATCATGAGAGATGACGGACAACACCTGCAGATCTCACGTCATGACTGGAGACCGCCATCCTTGCATGAATCATGAGAGATGACGGACAACACCTGCAGGTCTCACGTCATGACTGGAGACCGCCATCCTTGCATGAATCATGAGAGATGACGGACAACACCTGCAGATCTCACGTTATGACTGGAGACCGCCATCCTTGCATGAATCATGAGAGATGACGGACAACACCTGCAGATCTCAGGTTATGACTGGAGACCGCCATCCTTGCATGAATCATGAGAGATGACGGACAACACCTGCAGATCTCACGTTATGACTGGAGACCGCCATCCTTGCATGAATCATGAGAGATGACGGACAACACCTGCAGATCTCACGTTATGACTGGAGACCGCCATCCTTGCATGAATCATGAGAGATGACGGACAAACACCTGCAGGTCTTACGTCATGACTGGAGACCGCCATCCTTGCATGAATCATGAGAGATGACGGACAACACCTGCAGATCTCACGTTATGACTGGAGACCGCCATCCTTGCATGAATCATGAGAGATGACGGACAACACCTGCAGGTCTCACGTTATGACTGGAGACCGCCATCCTTGCATGAATCATGAGAGATGACGGACAACACCTGCAGATCTCACGTTATGACTGGAGACCGCCATCCTTGCATGAATCATGAGAGATGACGGACAACACCTGCAGGTCTCACGTTATGACTGGAGACCGCCATCCTTGCATGAATTATGAGAGATGACGGACAGCACCTGCAGATCTCACGTTATGACTGGAGACCGCCATCCTTGCATGAATCATGAGAGATGACGGACAACACCTGCAGGTCTCACGTTATGACTGGAGACCGCCATCCTTGCATGAATCATGAGAGATGACGGACAACACCTGCAGATCTCACGTTATGACTGGAGACCGCCATCCTTGCATGAATCATGAGAGATGACGGACAACACCTGCAGGTCTCACGTTATGACTGGAGACCGCCATCCTTGCATGAATTATGAGAGATGACGGACAGCACCTGCAGATCTCACGTTATGACTGGAGACCGCCATCCTTGCATGAATCATGAGAGATGACGGACAACACCTGCAGGTCTCACGTCATGACTGGAGACCGCCATCCTTGCATGAATCATGAGAGATGACGGACAACACCTGCAGATCTCACGTTATGACTGGAGACCGCCATCCTTGCATGAATCATGAGAGATGACGGACAACACCTGCAGATCTCACGTTATGACTGGAGACCGCCATCCTTGCATGAATCATGAGAGATGACGGACAACACCTGCAGATCTCACGTTATGACTGGAGACCGCCATCCTTGCATGAATCATGAGAGATGACGGACAACACCTGCAGATCTCACGTTATGACTGGAGACCGCCATCCTTGCATGAATCATGAGAGATGACGGACAACACCTGCAGATCTCAGGTTATGACTGGAGACCGCCATCCTTGCATGAATCATGAGAGATGACGGACAACACCTGCAGATCTCACGTTATGACTGGAGACCGCCATCCTTGCATGAATCATGAGAGATGACGGACAACACCTGCAGATCTCAGGTTATGACTGGAGACCGCCATCCTTGCATGAATCATGAGAGATGACGGACAACACCTGCAGATCTCACGTTATGACTGGAGACCGCCATCCTTGCATGAATCATGAGAGATGACGGACAACACCTGCAGATCTCACGTTATGACTGGAGACCGCCATCCTTGCATGAATCATGAGAGATGACGGACAACACCTGCAGATCTCACGTTATGACTGGAGACCGCCATCCTTGCATGAATCATGAGAGATGACGGACAACACCTGCAGATCTCACGTCATGACTGGAGACCGCCATCCTTGCATGAATCATGAGAGATGACGGACAACACCTGCAGGTCTCACGTCATGACTGGAGACCGCCATCCTTGCATGAATCATGAGAGATGACGGACAACACCTGCAGATCTCACGTTATGACTGGAGACGGCCATCCTTGCATGAATCATGAGAGATGACGGACAACACCTGCAGATCTCACGTCATGACTGGAGACCGCCATCCTTGCATGAATCATGAGAGATGACGGACAACGCCTGCAGATCTCACGTTATGACTGGAGACCGCCATCCTTGCATGAATCATGAGAGATGACGGACAACACCTGCAGATCTCACGTTATGACTGGAGACCGCCATCCTTGCATGAATCATGAGAGATGACGGACAACACCTGCAGATCTCACGTTATGCCTGGAGACCGCCATCCTTGCATGAATCATGAGAGATGACGGACAACACCTGCAGATCTCACGTTATGACTGGAGACCGCCATCCTTGCATGAATCATGAGAGATGACGGACAACACCTGTAGATCTCACGTTATGACTGGAGACCGCCATCCTTGCATGAATCATGAGAAATGACGGACAACACCTGCAGATCTCACGTTATGACTGGAGACCGCCATCCTTGCATGAATCATGAGAGATGACGGACAACACCTGCAGATCTCACGTTATGACTGGAGACCGCGATCCTTGCATGAATCATGAGAGATGACGGACAACACCTGCAGATCTCACGTTATGACTGGAGACCGCCATCCTTGCATGAATCATGAGAGATGACGGACAACACCTGCAGGTCTCACGTTATGACTGGAGACCGCCATCCTTGCATGAATCATGAGAGATGACGGACAACACCTGCAGATCTCACGTCATGACTGGAGACCGCCATCCTTGCATGAATCATGAGAGATGACGGACAACACCTGCAGATCTCACGTTATGACTGGAGACCGCCATCCTTGCATGAATCATGAGAGATGACGGACAACACCTGCAGATCTCACGTCATGACTGGAGACCGCCATCCTTGCATGAATCATGAGAGAAGACGGACAACACCTGCAGATCTCACGTCATGACTGGAGACCGCCATCCTTGCATGAATCATGAGAGATGACGGACAACACCTGCAGATCTCACGTTATGACTGGAGACCGCCATCCTTGCATGAATCATGAGAGATGACGGACAACACCTGCAGGTCTCACGTCATGACTGGAGACCGCCATCCTTGCATGAATCATGAGAGATG